CCAGGGTACCACCCAAGAGGGTCCTTGGGTGATTGGCCCAGGTTAGGAGTTCCAAACCAATTGACCCAATCAGTACAAACTCTCAAGTGGAAGAGTTCAAAAGGTCTCCAGCAACTAGATGGTGGAGGTCTACTGGCTGCTCAAATTTAGTTCATGCCAGTGCTCTGTGGAGTCAGAAAGGTCTGCCAATAGCAGAATTGGACCAGGGGCTGTGTTTCTTTCTCCACTTTGCTCCTCTTTCATGCCCAGTCACGGGTGACCCCACACGGTTGAGGTCCTACTCCCTCCAATAAGCAGATGTGCTGGGGTTTTGCACCTGTCAGAGTCAAAGGAAGGTCAGTGCCTCTGCCGCCCAGCCACTACCCCCTGCCACCAGCTGGCTGGGGGACCTGAGGCCTGCCTGCCTTGGGTACTCAATAGCCACTGGCAAGTGTTCCACTTGAACTCAGTCTAATCCTGAGGGTAACAAGTCAGCAAATGCTTTTCTCCCTTAGGCTCCTCAAGTTTGCACCAGCCACTCTGCAGCATCAGTATCCCTATAGAGTGGGATACCGATTTACTCTGGCAGTCCTCAGAGTTGGGGAGATTAGACCCTGGCAGGATCACTCTATTGTTGCTGAATCTTTGTGGGAAGTGACCCTGTGCAGCTCCTAGGGGACTGCCACAGCCAGGGAGTCCTTGCTGTAGGAGCAGCTCCAGGAGTGCAAGGCACACAGATCCAGCAGCAGGGTGGGAGACACTGCACACGGCTCTGGCAGTGCCTGGCACCCAGTGACTTTGGCAAAGAGAGTGCTTGGCTCATGCCTCTGGCCGAGTGGGGCACAGTGCGGAGGCTCCTGCAGGGTGGGTCATGGGGGTGGGGCATGGCTCTAGCAGGGTGGGTCGTGAGGCTCTGGACATGTGGGCGCAGGGTGCTTGGTCTGGTGGGGGGCGCTGTTCATAAGCCTCCTCCCACAGTCTCTGCAGGGGTTAGGCTTCTGGTTCCTTAGGCAAGGGGGGAAAGGTGGACTGGATCTGAAGTTCAGAATGGCAGGGAAAATGTTAGTTCAATTTTTCTGCCTGGCAAGAGAGTGCTCAGGGTCACAACGGGGTCCCTCTGGGAAAATAGATCCCACTTCCTACAGCTCTCACTCATGGGGTGAGATAAGAGGTCCTCAGTTCATGGCTCACCTGTAGAAAACCTACAGGATCAAAAACACAACTTTCATGGGGGAGGGGATGGACACTTTTCCTTTGGGATGAACTTTGTACCTGAAGTTTACTTTCTCAGAGTCGCAGCTGGCCTCAGCAGAGGTGACCTGCTGTTATCACTCTTCTCTCTGGACCTCAGCTCCCACTCTTCAGCTTAATTGGGTACTTTCTGGACATTATCCTTCCCTCTGGATGGAAGCTTCTGTCGGAGGCTGGCTCCAGCCAGCCATCTTGCCCCTTCCCCCCCCCTTTTTAAAATTTCACTGAAGTCCCTAAGGGACGGGAGAAAGATATTGGTGCAGAATAAATATTTTAATAATTCCCAACTTTGTGAAAAACATACATTTATAGATTAAAAAAACTTAATGAATTTATAGATTAAAAAAACTTAATGAACCCTGAACATAATAAACTCAAAAAAAAAACCACCAAAAATACATCATAATCAAACTACAAAGAAAAGAGAAAAATCTTGAAAGCAGCCAAATTAAACAATATATTACACGTAGAGAAAACAACAGTTTTATTATCAGAACCCATGAAATTAGAAATCATAGAATAATATATTTAAAGTGCTTAAAGAAAATAATTGTGCACCCAGATCTCTATATCCAGCAAAAATATCCTTCAGAAATAAATGCAAAATAAAGACATTCTCAGATGAATAAAAACAAAAAATTCTGTAGCCACCAAATCTGCTCTAACAAAATGCGGAAGGAAGTTCTTCAGACTGAAGAGAAATGATACCAGAAAAATAACTGGATTGTGGGGAATAAAAGAACAGCAAAAGAAATAGTTAATATCTAGGCAATACAATAGACTATTTTTCTTTTTTAGTTTTTTTTTAAAAACTATATGATATTTAAAACAAAATTGCCTGATAGAGTTCAATATCCAGCATATATAAGGTACTCAAACAACTTTATAAAAAGGAAACAAAGATTTCTATCAACAAAGAAAGAAATTAACAGAGTTAAGAGACAATATCCAGATTGGGAGAAATATTTGCAAGCCATACATCTGATAAGGGATTAATATCCAGCATATATAAGGTACTCAGACAACTTTATAGAAAGGAAACAAATAATCAATTGAGAAATGGGCAGCAGACCTGAATAGACATTTTTGAAAAAACATATGCTGACAGATCCAGGAAAAAATGTTCAACATCACTAATCATTAGATAGATACGAATTAAATCTACAATGAGAGATCACCTCATAGCTGTGAGAATGGCTATTATCAAAGATAAGTGTTGGTGAAGATGTGGAAAAAAGGAACCCTTACTCTTGGTGGGAATGTAAATTAGTACAACCATTTTGGAAAATTGTATGTAGGTTCCTAAAATACTAAAAGTAAAATTACCATATGGATCCATCAATTCTACTTCTGGGTATTTGCCCAAAAGATTTGAAACAAAATTGATCTTGAGGGGCCAACGACAACTTGGACTTTACCTAACAAACACCAACAATGTAACTTAATCATCTGGGCCCTCATATTAATCTGAAATGAAAAAACAAATGATCTAATAGAAGTAAACGGTAGAACAAAGGGCACATGGATAAAATTGGAGAACATTGTGCTAAATGAAATATGCCAAACACAGAAAAATTAGTCCCACACATTTTCACTTGTATGTGGAATCTAAAACAATGGAACTTGCAGAGCAGAGTAGAATGATAGGAGCTGGGAGTGGGAGGAATGGGAGATGACAAAGAGTACCAGGCCTCAATTAATTAGGAAAAATAAGTTTGAACTTTTTTTTGAGGTCTATTACACAGTGTGGTGAATACCGCTAATAACTGAGTACTGAACTTTTCGATATAGCTAAGAAAATAAGTTTCAGCTGCTCTCATCACAAAAATGTTAAATATTTGAGGTAATGGATGTGTTAATAAGACTAATTTAATCGTTCCACATTGTATTCAAAAACTCGTAATACTGTTTTGTATTCCATAAATATATAAAACTATAATTTGTCAATATATAAGTTTAAGAAAATTTAGGCTCAGCGCCTGTAGCTCAGTGGCTATGGTGCCAGCCACATACACTGGAGCTGGAGGTTCGAATCCAGCCCAGGCCTGCCAAACAACAATGACAACTACAATCAAAACTAGCCGGACACTGTGGTGGGCTGCTTGGGAGGCTGAGACAAGAGAATCACATAAGCCCAGGAGTTGGAGGTTGCTGTGAGCTGTGACATCACGGCAGTCTACCAAGGGCGACATAGTAAGACTCTGTCTCAAAAAAAAAAAAAAGAAAGAAAGAAAGAAAGAAAGAAAGAAAGAAAGAAAGAAAGAAAGAAAGAAAGAAATTTTAGAGTCAGTATTGCTACCAGAACTTATTGTAAATTTTAAGTTCAGTTCCTCCAATTAAAAAAAAAAAGTGTATAAAGTTAAATTGGTTTGCACAAACATATTGCAAATGCCTAACATTCTTTTCATTAGTGCAGAAGTCTATATTTTTTTGAATGTTAATACAACATGGTGAGAGTGATGTATTATATACTAGAGACAGAGAAATATTCCAAGGGTGCAGCCAGTGCAGATTCAGACAGGTCAGGCAGTCCTGGCGAAAGGCATATTGCCTTAAATATTGGTTAATGAAGACTGGCCCTCTGTGGAGTAATTTTCTGAGGAAATGGAAGGAGGCAGAAATGTAAGAAGACAGGAGAATAAGTGCCAAAGAATTATAATCAGCAGGAATGCTTGTTTCCACATTAGCAAGAAAATGTGTCCACTACCAGCTCCAGTGAATATTCTTCCCATAATTATTCAGAGCTCAACCTCTTCCTAGTTTCTATTTGTGGTAGGCCAAAAGAAATGTTTAAATATTTACAAATGTCTCCCGGCAGCTGCCCTGACCCATTTACTAAAGGAGAGATGGGGCAGGCAAAAAGCAAATAGTCTAAAAGACTTTGGTCCTAGCTTCTGAATTTCAGAAATCCAGACTTTGCTCTACTCTGTTTGGAGTCGTCAGGGCAGGAAGAAGAGGTGAAGGGTGAAGATAAAGGAAGATAGTTTTTGGTTGCGCACACCTATACCTTAACTGACAAGTGAGTTCCTTCCAACAGCTCAAGAATGGCTGCAAGTGAAGTCCTGTGAGGAGGTGGCACCTACCTGCCTGCCAGCCGTACTCCCCTCACAATGCGCATTTATTTTCACAATGACCAGATGCAGATGATGGGGGGGGGTTGGGGTGGGGCACAATTGGTTGGCGGTAAGTCACCAAGGAAATGCTACCCCCTGAAGCCCCAATACACTCCAGGAATGTCCATTAGCAAACACAGGAAGCATTGCTCCTGAGGTAAATGGCCTAAGTGACCTCCGTGATAGCCACACACCCTCTGGTCAAGTCCAAGGTTGGGGGGAGAAGGGGTAAATTACCATTATGAATGTCATGCAGTCAGGCGCTTAGAAAATATTTATTATGATACTATTCATTATAGATGAAAAAAGATGACGTTTCATACACAAAATCACGGGCCAGCAGCACCCCAGCAGTCAGAAGGAAGCTGGGTGCGCCCCTGTGGCAGGGGCTTCTAGCCCTCAGGGCCATTCACACACCTTCACCACCATCAGAGACCAGCAGGGGAGGGAGGGAGGCGGGAGGGAGCACCTGCCCAGGTGAATCAATAAGGGGTAAGACGCCATCTCGGAAAGCGTCAAACCCCAGCAATGATTTGTTTCTCTGAGGTACAAAGAAGCAGTTTCACAATCACCCCAAACATGTAAAAGACAAAACACACACACACACACAACACAAAACACAACGTTCCCCAGGAAACTGGGATTCAGACTCCAGCTCTACGCGAGCAGCCGCGAGCCGAGCAGGAACCTGTTCCGGGGCCACAGGTTGCTCTCGCCCAGGTTGGAGGGGCGCCTCTGGCACTGCTTGCAGCGCAGGTAATTCTTGCACTGGTCCAGGAGGAACAGCTTGTCTGAAGCCCTGAGGAGAGGGGAGGAGAGGACAGCAACAGCGGTCATCGGCAGGTGTGGCCGAGTCCCTGACAGCCCAGCTCGCAAGCCGGTGGAGGGGGGGGGTACAAAAGAAAAGTGACTCTGGTCCCTGCTCTCAAGACTCAGTCACCCCTGCGTTCTCTGCTCGCCCCACCCTGGCATTTCCTGTCTGCAAACTCCTCTATGGCTTTGTTCTCCACTAAGTACACTTTCCCCACAGTCTGACCCTATGTGCATGTCCCCAACCACAACACACACAAGCCCCAGGAGAGCACAGAACTTGCCCAGGTCACACAGCCCCACAAAGTGGCTCCCAAGCCTCTTGGTGGGCGACCTCTAGTCCTTTGAGAGGGAGCCATTACCCTTGCTGGTGAACAGTTAAGTGCCAGCAGGGAGTTAAGAGTAGACTACAGTGACAATTCCCAACAGGCTGGAGCCTCCCGAGAGGGAAGGGCAGGAGAGGGAATGGAGACAAGGACGAAAAGGCCACGGAAGCAGAGATGAAGGAGCAGCAGTGACTGGTTCTCCCCTGGGATAATTGTTCTTGGTTATTTAAGACAGTCCCTGGTGTGGTCTCTTACCCCATCAAAATTTCTACATGGGTAGAAATTTTGTGAAAGGAAGAAGAAAAGAAAGGAGGAGAAAGGGGGAGGATGGAGAAAGTAGGAGGAGGAGGGAGGAGAGGGAAGGGTAGATGGAGGAGAGGAGAAGGCATAGCCAGCGTAGTCTGAAAAAGAAAAAAGCTTGGAAGTGAGCAGGGAAGACCTCCCTGGCTTGCCTGGCGACAGGACAGAGTAGCATGTGCTAACTGCATACATGTGAATCTCGTTTTGGCTTTTGCTTTTTGCCACCTGATTCCTTTTTCCTACCTGCTTCCTGTTTGAGTCCCTGCCCAGGCCCTCAGATCTGCTCCATTAGTCTGCCCCTCAAAATATTTTCCCCTGTCTCCTCTATCCGTTATCAACATATTGACCAGGCATGCTTTCTAAATCCAGATAAAATGTCCCTGGCAGTAATCTCACTACCCTTTACCTGCTTTCCCACAACACCAAGAAAATGGCTTGAAACCTCCAAGTCCTCTTTCTCCTCCTCCTCTCTAAACTAAATGACCTATGCTGCTCCTTTGGGACCTGTTTTCCACATGATCCCTCATACTTCCATTGTCACAAATATGGCTCTACTCATTAGAAAGACAGGTAAAGAAAAAGGGAAGTTATAAATCAAGATCCATTGCAACAAATCTTATCCATGATAAAAACTAACTGATAATTGGCAATGTAAGCTATTATTTTGGTATAATCCTATTTGAAGAATTTAATTGTATAGACTTGGTCTCATTCATCAAAAAAAGACATTTTTTTTAAGACAGTCTTCCTCTGTCACTTGGCCTAGAGTACGGTGGTGTCATCATAGCTCACTGCAACCTCAAGCTCCTGGGCTCAAGCAATCTTCCTGCCTCAGCCTCCCTTGTGGCTGGAACAACAGCTGTGCACCACTACTCCCAGGTAATTTTTCTAATTTTTTGTAGAGGTGGGATCTCACTTTTACTCTTTCTTAGGCTGGTCTGGAACTGCTGGCCTCAAGCAGTCCTCCTACCTCAGACTCCCAAAGTGCTAGGATTACAGGTGTGAGCCACTGTGCCCAGCCTCATTCACTAAATTTTTAACATTCTGTGAAATAATAACTTACTTTTGTAAAGTTTTTTAATTTTTTCAAAGTATGATACTGTCCCGTCTCTTTATTGGATCCCTAGAACTCCTGAATTAGCTTGGTCATGTGTTTACTTTCCCATTTTACAAATAAGGAAAATAAGATAACAAGATTAGCCTCCTCTCTGAAGTTAGTGGGAATTATCAAAACCATAACTAAAGCCCCAATTCCCTGACTCAGGGTTGTAAAATACACAGCTAAGGAGAGGGGGCAGGGATATAACAATGTTTCAGACAGATGTTCCTGACTGGTTCTGGAATGGCTACCTCACTTTTCCAATTGTCAATCTTACCCACAACTCCTTAACCTTGTTCTCAAATGGCCATTCACTAAGCCTTAGAAGTGTTCAGAGCTGACCCACTCTCCCTACTTTCAAATAATTACTTCCAAAGAGAATTCCTATCTTCATAAAAAAGAAAAGAAAGATGCCCTGAACACAGGCCAAGATTAGAGTGGTCGGTCTAGGGCATCCAATACAGCATTCCCCAGGCCCGTGTCCATAACAGACATTTCTAATCAATCACAGCAGAATTCTCACTGAACACAGAATTGCTTTCTCCACAAAGTTCTCCAGGGATACAACGTATCTGCATCCCAGGATTTGAGGAAAGTGAACAAGAAACATAGGGGACTTTCTTTGCAAACAAAGAACTCCGGCCCTTACCGCTCGAAAGCCTTCTCCTCCAGGTCCCGCTGCTTCTTCATTGCAACACTCCTTTCCCAGTCCTCCTGTAAGCATTGGTTGATTCTGTTCACTCGTTCTAGCTCGGTAATCTTGTCTGCTAAGTACCTAGAGAGAAAAAGACAGTCTGATGCCATTCGTTATAGTTGGAAGAGCACACATCAGCCTGCAGAGGCTCGTTTCTTATTACATGAAAAAGAAAATTTCTAGTTTTGTTCACTGCTCTCTGAAATATAGTAAAAGGCACAATCACTGTGAAAGCATGGTAAAACTCCTAGCTCTCAAATAATTTATGGGTCTAGGACCTTTCATCTTCAATCCTGATTTAATTTAGCAGGATTATATCCTTTTTCCAATTAACGACTTCGGCCTTCAAAGCCCTTAATTCCCTTTGAGGCTAATTTAACTCATCTGAAGAATAATCCCAAATGGATTTTCTATTCAGAATGTTTCTCCCCTTTTATTCAGCCTCTCAACTGTCAGTACCCAGCCTACAAGTTGCTGCAAGCATTTTACAAGACGAAATAGATAGACATACAAATGAAAGTCTAGAAAAGGGAAAAGAAACAAAGGTGACTAAACAAGAGAAAAGCAAATGAAGAAAAGGATTATATAACATTGTGAAGGAGACAAGGAATAAAAGTAGGAGTGTCTGGGGAAGGCCATTCATTAGGGAAGTGACTGCAATAGATCATTTCGCTTTAAGTACAATGTTTCAGTATTCCTGGTGTTGTGCACCTGTTACGGGTCTCCACACACACCATCACTACTATTGTGAATCACCTTAAGCCTGGTTTAAATTATCTATTTCTTGCCAAACTGAAACGTTTACTGTCGGCTCTGGAAGAAGCTTCCAAATGTGATGGTTGATTCAGCCTTTTCTGAAGGGTTTTGTGTTACAGGTAACAACAGCCACCAGGTGTTGGGATCCTCCAATAAAAATCAGTTATGTCCTCTGTACTGGTTCACGTCTTCCTCATAAAAAAGGTAGCCACTTTTTCACCTAACAAGCATTTATTCAATATCTATTGTGCAGTTATTAGAAAGATTAAATGACACACTATACAGAAAGTGCCAACGTCTGTCAAATAATGAGAGCTCAATGACTGAATGCAACCTGTTACGGTAGATTCTCTCTGTAAGTTGACCACCCAAGGGACTGTAACAAACTAGTCAACTTACAGAGGTGGTCAACAGAAGGAACCAGCCTACTGATACATCCATGTGGTACGTGTCCAATCTATGAAAATCAGGTCAACTTAAGGAGGTGGTCAATATAGAGGGGTGGTCAACAATAGAGGTTCTACTGTATTTTTTATCAGCTTTTTTTAAAAGTTTATTTTAATTGTGGTAAAAGAAAAGTATGTAACAAATTTACCATCTTAACCATTTATACGTGTATAGTTATGTGGTGTTAAGTATATTCACCTTACTGTCCAACCAATATCCAGAACTCCTTCATCTTATAAACCTACACCCTTTAAATGATTTCCCATTTCTCCCACATCCAGCCTCTGGCACTTACCATTCTACTCTTTGCTTCTATGATTTAGACTTCTCTAGATACTTTATATAAAAGTGGAATCTTACAGCATTTATCTTTTTGTGACTAGCTTATTTCATTTAATATAATGTCCTCAAGGTTCATCTATGGTGTAGCATGTCTCAATTTCTTTCCTTTTTAAGGCTGAGTAATAATTCCATGTACAGTATACATATACCACATTTTGTTTATCCATTCATCTCTCAGTGGACACCTGGGTTGCTTCTACTTCTTGGCTAATGTAAATAGTGCTGCTATGAACACATATGTGCAGATATCTCTTTGATACGCTGCTTTTGATTCTTTTGGATACAAATCCACAAGGGGAATTACTAGGTCATATGTGATATGGTTTGGATATTTGCACCTCCAAATTTCAGGTTGAACTTTAATCCCCAGAGTTGGATGTGGAGTCTGGGTTATAGGGGCAGCTCCCTCATAAATGGCTTCATTCCCTCCCCAGTATAGTGAATGAGTTCTCATTTTGTTAGTACACACAAGAACTGGTTGTTTAAAAGAGCCTGAGGCCACCATCTCCCTCTATCACCATGTAACACATCTGCTCTCCCTTTGCCTCCCACCTTGACGGGAAGCTCCCTGAAGACCTCACCAGAACCAGCTGCTGGCACAGTGCTTCTTGTACAGCCTACAGAACTATAAGTAACCTCTTTTCTTTATAAAGTACCCAGTCTCAGTATTCCATTATAACATTTGCAAAATGAACTAATACAATATGGCAGGTCTAATTGTAATGCTTTGAAGCATCACCATACTTTTGTCCATGGAAGTTGTACCATTTCACATTCCCACCAATCATGCACAAGGGTTTCTACTTTTCTACATCCTCACCAACACTTGTTAATTTTTGTAAATAGTAGTCATCCTAATGGATGTGACATGGTATCTCACTGGTTAGTGATGTTAAGCATTTTTCACATTCTTCTCGGCCATTATTATATGAGGAGAGGTAAAAATTCACTTTAATGTAAGTACCTAAAAAGTAAGAAAATGAGCTGGGCCTGCAACAGGTGGCAGCTAACATTCTCACAACATTGATAGGAAGCAAACTGCTAAACCGTGTTAGAAATTTGTCTACATCTGGTAATGTTAGAAATGTACCATGTGCTTTACCTAGCAATCTCACCTCTAGGAATTTATCTTATAGAAGCCAAAGAGCCAATATAAAGAATCTTTAATGCAGAATTGTTATAATAGCAAAATATCACTTATCTGGAAACAAAGTGTTCATCAACAATGCAAAAGTTAAATTTAGTACCTCCATGTTATAGATATTACGCAGCTATTTAAAAAGAGTAAATGTGGTATATACGTACTGACTTGGATGTATAATATATAATGACACATAGTTGTGTTAAAGAAAGATTAGATTGCAGAGTAAGGTATAAGACTGCCTGGACTTACAGTATATATTGTTTAAAATGAAAAAAAATTGGGAAGAATAAGAAAAAATGAAAAGGTAATATATTAACATATACTTCTCAGTGGGAGAATTGTTAACTTTTTAAAATCTCTCCTCCAATTGTCTTATTTCAGTGAGCATGAATTATTTTTTAAAAAATAAAAACATTGGGTGGCACCTGTGGCTCAGTGGGTAGAGCACCAGCCCCATATACTAAGGGTGACGGGTTCAAACCCAACCCCAGCCAAACTGCAACAAAATAATAGCCGGGTGTTGTGGCGGGCCCCTGTAGTCCCAGCTATTCCGGAGGCTGAGGCAAGAGAATCACCTAAGCCCAGGAGTTGAAGGTTGCTGTGAGCTGTGTGACACCACACACTCTACCAAGGGTGATAAAGTAAGACTGTCTCAATAAATAAATAAATAAATAAATAAATAAATAAAAACATTACCCCAGAAGTGCATTGATGTACATAGTTACCATTCAATAAAAAATAAAAATTAAAAAAAATAAAAACACAAAAGTTCAAAGAAAAAGAGAGTAAAACAAGTATAATTGCTTAGCATGTCTGTCTAGATCACACTGACTAAATGATCCTCTCTAAAATAAAATGGCCTTCTATTTGCCACAGGAAGACCTAAGATCCAGATCCATTTTGAGATGGACCAGAGAAAGGTCAGGGAATTGAAAAGATAAGGGAAATGGAGAATGAAATAACCCATAAAGAATCTAAAAACAGGGGCGGTGCCTGTGGCTCGATGGGTAGGGCGCCAGCCCCATATACCAAGGGTGGTGGGTTCAAACCCAGCCCTGGCCAAACTGCATAAAGAAATAGCCAGGCATTGTAGTGGGCGCCTGTAGTCCCAGCTGCTCAAGAGGCTGAGGCAAGAGAATCACCTGGGCCCAAGAGCTGGAGGTTGCTGTGAGCTGTGATGCCACTGTACTCTACCGAGGGTGACATAGTGAAACTGTTTCTACCAAAAAAAAAAAAAAATCCCCTTAAAAAAAAGAATCTAAAAACAGGAATCACAGATCTGACCAGTTCAGAAATAGAGATCTATGATCAGAGCTCCAAAAAAGGAGATAACTAAGTAAAGATCACAGTTCAGAACTATTCAGAGCTTCACAGTTTCCAAAAATGTTTTCACATACATAATCTAATACATAATTTAATTCTCACAGTAAGGATAAGCAGGGCAGGTGTGATTATCCTTGCTTTTCATATGAGGAAATAAGGTTCAGAAACTTTAGGTATAATCTGGCCCAGGTCATAAAATTAGGAAGTAACAGGGTAAACTTTCCTGATTCCAAGTTTAGGGAATCATCTAGAGAAGCTAATGGCTAGAAGCAGAAGAGGAAGCTGCAAAAATCTCAGCTACAAATGCAAAGGGTCCCAGAGCCGGCTCTGGAAAGGCAGAACCACTGTGGGTCAAGTAACAGTGTTTTAAAACAGAAGCTAAAAGGAAGCCAAGTGCTTTCACAAGAAAATAAATATTTTATTTAAAAAAAAATCAATGGGAAAGACATCTTCTCAGGCATGTTTAGACTTTATAAATATATCAGATAAAGGACATGTAGACAGAAAATGCAAGGAGATTTCAAAACTCAACAATAACAAAACAACTCAACTGAGCAAAAGATTTGAACAGACACTTCAGACATTTAATTTAACAAGATATACAGATGGCAAATAAGCACATGGAATGATGTTCAACATCGTTAGTTATTAGATCAATGCAAATTAAAGCATGAGATACCACTATCCCCCTAATTTAGGACAGCTAAAATTAGAAACACCGACCATACGAAGTGTTGGCAAGAATGGGGAAGACTAGAACTCACTCCATAGTACAACCACTTTGGAAAAGACTTCAGCACTTTCTTTCAGACTTAAATACAGACCTATGGTATGATCCAGCCACACCACTCCTAGGGATTTACCCAAGACAAAAGGCACTACACATTCTTACAAAGGCATACAAATGTTCAAAGTAGCTTTATTTATAATAGCTAAAAACCAGAAAAAAACCAATGTCCAGCAAAAGATAAAGTATGGTATATCTATGACTGGAATGTATATCTATGACTGGAATGTGCATTGTTATACACAACAATATGAATGAATTTGAGTGAAAAAAGCCAGACACAAATGAATACTGTATGATTTCATTTATATAAAACTCCAGTAAAAGCAAACTAATCTACAGGGACAGAAGGCAGATCAGTGGTTGCTTAAGGATAGGGGACTGGGGAGGAGTAAAGGAGGAATTATGAAGATACACAAGGAAACTTTTAGGGCTGATGGGATATGTTCACCATCTTGACTATGATAATGGTTTCATACAAGGGTGCACATACATGTCAAAATTTATCAGCGTAAACACCTGCAATTTATACTTCAATAAAGGTTTATTTTTAATTAAAAAATAAAGTAAAATTCAGTAGAAGATGTGTGCCTTTCCTCAGGCCTATTTATGCTTTCAGAAATCTTCATAGGCTGCAACTGCCTCCCCTCTTCACTATCAAAATGCACACAGAACTTTTTAGAATTATTACATTACAAACTTTTAATCTTCAAGCAACACATCTTATAATTTTAAACCCATAGACTCTGTTGAAAATAAAATAGCATGGTTAAGAGGAAGAATATAGTAAATTTTTACAGAGTCTCAGAATCATGGCACAGGAGGTAGATTCAAAGTCCTGGGCATAATCTCATACCAAGCCACTTCCAGCTACCTATGTGGTATGATTGAAAATGGGGCTCTGCCTCTTCACCCCACTGCACTTTGCCTGGGTGTTCACTCATAGCAGTTATATTACCATGCCACTGCCCTACACAGATTGAGAGTCCACTGTTGCCTTTCTGGCAAAAGCTTTTTTATCCTCTTGAAAAATCTTTTAGCACCATCTATACTAGGTAAAATGCTTAGAATCGCTCAGACTTAATGTCCTGAGATCAGCAGAGTGGGTTAATAATTATCTATCGAGAAGTCAGACCTAGGGAGGACCATAAATAATACTCTGAGCCATTTAAGTTGATATAATAGAGAATAATTATATCAATTTATCAACCAGAAAAATGTTCTTATGATGGCAATAGCTACCCTCGACTGACCACTTACTCTAAGGCAGGCACTCAGCTAGCTATTTACAAGGTCTAATTAATTTAATCCTCAACCACCCAGAAGAAGGTCTGGTATTATCCCTAATAACTGTTAAGGAAACTAATGCCCTCAGAGGTATGGAAGCTGCTTCACATCACACAACTAATAAAACGGCAGAGCCACACCAACCAATAAGAAAGGATACTGAATGTGAGCATGGAGGCCTCAGGAATTCATCCCTTAGGGGAAAGATCATGGAGAGGTGGGATCAGGGCTCCCAGGGAGGAACTGGGGCAGCTTGACCAGCCGAGGTGCACCTGTGGGCCTTGGGGTAAAATTATTTGTCAAGAAGTATGGAGATGTTTCACTATTTCAGCAAATAGTATAGGTACACAAGTATACACTGCCCTAAGAATATGCAAGACCCTATCTCACTTCCGACTTGACTCCAGAAATCATATCACTCTCACTAATTTCTGCCAATAATCAAACTCCACCCTTATCCCAATAGCCTCCATCTTCAATCTACCATTTTAGTCATATTTTCATGCCTGGGCCTACTTGGTATAGAACAGGACAAATCTATGCACTATCTCACTGACATTTATATATTTTTTTTTTTTTTTGAGACAGAGTCTCACTATGTCACCCTTGGTAGAGTGCCACGGCATCACAACTCACAGCAACCTCAAACTCTTGGGCCTAAGCAATTCTGTTGCCTCAGCCTCCCAAGCAGCTGGGACTACAGGTGCCCAGCACAACACCTGGCTATTTTTTAGTTGCAGTTGTCATTGTTTAGCAGGCCCAGGTTGGGTTTGAACCTGCCAGCTTTGGTGTATGTAGCCAGCGCCCTACTCACTGAACTATAGGCACGGAGCCAACATTTATAAAATTTTAATAAAACAACCTTTTACTGGCTCAGTGCCCATAGCACTAGTTACAGTGCCAGCCATATACGCCAAGGATGGTGGGTTTTAACCCAGCCTGGGCCAGCTAAACAACTGCAACCAAAAAATAGCCAGGTGTTGTGGTGGGCGCCTGTAGTCCCAGATGCTCGGGAGGCTGAGGCAAGAGAATCGCTTAAGCCCAAGAGTTAAGGTTGCTGTGATGTCACAGTACTCTACCAAGGGTGACATAATGAGACTCTGTCTCAAAAAATAATAATAATAATAACTTTTTACCATTTATAAGTATAACTGCCTTCTAAATAGAGTTGCTTCCTTTGAAAAGAAGTCTTTTTGGAATTCTTGGTGATTTTAGCTTATCAAGGATCTGAGAATTACTGAATGCCTACAAAGAAGAAACTGGAGTTCTTCATGATATGTTAAGTAGAGACAAGAAGCAAAAGACAAGGAAGATGGAACGAGTAGAAAAGAACCACGAAGACGCTGCAAGGCTGACAGCAAGCTGAGACCTTTAACAATTCCCCCCTGTTAGGTGGTCAACTAGACGTTTTAAAAAACTAGATATCTGATGTTTGAATTTGAAGGTGTTTTCACTGATACGGTATCAAGTCCTCCCTCCTCAGCCTACCTCACCACCTTCACCAACCCTCTCACCAACAATCATCAGTAAAACTCACAACATGCAGATTTTTTGAAGGATGGGAGTATGGTAAAAGTTGAGAGAGGGCCCAGGTTTCATGTCTGGGCCTACTTGAGCATGGAGACCACATCTGTGGTTCACATTATATTGCCAGTAGATAGTGCTGATACGGGCAATTCATTTTAAGAAGTTGTACTGTGAAGGGAAGGAAAAATCTGGAGGGGAAAATGGCATGAAAAGAGGTTTTAAAAATTCATTTATTAACTTTTTATTCATAGGATAAATCCTGAAGCTAAAATGAGAAGCAGCATATAATGAGCTTAAAACAATGTTTCGTGTAAGGAACTCAACTGGGGGGGTGGGATTGGCAGTCTCCTTACTCTTGCCGTGTCCTCCGAAGCATCTGCAGATCCCGCCTCTGGTCCACCAGCTGGTGCAGAATGGCTTTCCTCTTGCGGCCAGCAGCTGTCTCCATCTGGTGTTTCATGTACTCCTGGTCTCGCTTTCGCTTTTCCACCACCGGCTCCCCCTCGTCCTTACCAAAGATGGGCTCTGAGGAGTCTGGCTCCAACACGGGTAGCTGGATGGGTTTGTTTCTTATCTGAAACAGGGACACACACAATGCAGGTTATCATTCTACCAGGGAATAAACTTTACGCACAACTCTGTAATATAGTAAAATACTGATTCTTTACAGGAAGGAACACAGGGCTCAAAAACCACCAAATGAAAACACGTAAGAGTGTTCAGTCAGTGTTCATATATAGAACGCTATTGGAGCACTATATAATTTTTTAAACTGTAATAATTGTTCCCTCACCTGTGCATCCAAAGCTCTCTTGTAACACTGTGTTTTTTCCATCCTATCTTTTAAATACTTGGCTCTTTGTGCAGCAAGTCTGGCAGTTAAGAAAGGGAGAAGGTGGAGGCATGGTTTTACAGAGGCTTTAGTAACACAGATTAAAATCAAAACATGTTTGCTAAGGATTCATAGAGAGCCTGTTTCATTCCGGGAGCTTTCATTTTAAGAAAGAAAAGAGAAGTTCAAATCCCCAGGCTAGTGACCAAGGAAGTGGTGAACACACAGCACAGACACAAGCAGGTGACCAACTGTATTGTTCAAATGAACTACCACTAAAACAGCAGACACCACCACCCCACCCCACCCCACCCTCAACTGTTCTCTTAAAAATCCAGATAAGAAAGCAGGAAATAACTATTCATTCTACAAACTGATTCATTGTTAAATTTATTTTTAAGAAAAGTAATATATCCTGTTATAAATTATCATTCTATTATATGCAACCTCCAGAGAACCCATACGATCTGCCAAGTGCGTATAATGGAACACATACATTTTATAGAAATACACATTTTTGATCTCAGAAACTAGCTTCTTGTTTTGGGAGTCTCTGCTCACACTACAGTAGCCTCCACAATTGCTCTTCTGACCTCAGTAGCAGAAATGCAGGCCGCCTTGGGTATATAACAACTCCGTGGCCCTGTTCCTATCCCAGGCTTCAGAAAGCACAATCAGAGCCAAGCACATTCACTCCTGAAACTTTGGAATTGAGACTAACATTCTCTAAGTTTAAGCTGGAATTTAAAGACATTGTCAACTAAGGAGCTGTGGGTATAGACAGAGGGAAAGCCAGTCTACATGGCTTCTTAGTCCCTGGTTCCAGGCCCTCCTACGTTCCCTGTACATAGGGCAGCCTTCATTTCCATGGGGCACCACTATGTACTTCCAATAAAGCCTCAGTGTTGCCATGAGGTCACCTAAACATCTAATAGCTGGGAACAATGCCTGCTCAAGACAAATTCTTTCCTCCATCTACTAATGTTGCTGTTTACAAAACAATGCAAAATGAGACTCTATAGTAATTATAGATTGGCACTCATCACTATACTAGTAATTTTAGGGATGACAGCTTTTCCATTTCTCTAATGAAAAGTTATGGTGCATTACTGACTGCTGAGTTACTCTGCCCAGTTGGTTACAGTGGTGCTAACAAAACTACCAGTGCCGACTCAATCCTACACGGCAATTAACTTCCCATGAAAATTCCAAATCCATTCTTCAGAGAATGTGTAGCTGAACTCACTCCTCTGTCAGTTGCACTTGCTCCAGACGGCCCATCAATTCTCTGTTTTCTCTCTCCTTTATTTCCTTTTCTCGTTTGTTGTCCATTTGTTTCAGGAGACTTTGAGAATATCCCTCTTGCTTAAAAGCATTAAGCTCAGGACTGAGTGGCCGTTTATCAAACAGATAGGATTTCTAGAATAAAAAAGAAGCAATTTATTTATGGTTGAATATCAAAAGACAAAAGTTAATGATTCAAAAGACTAAAATCAATCAGAAAATATTTCTTAATTGCTAATAGTTGCCCAGCCCCCAACACACTGACCAGCTGATGCTGTGGATAGCCGGAGTAGTATGAGTGTGGTCAAGAATGAAGCTGAGCTGAACTGACCAGGGCCCCATGTCTGAGGTAGAGATGGAAAAGTGCTCCATAGAGTTGGTCCTGACGTAGCACTTATAACAGGGAAGGAAGGGATTCCAAGTGGGTGCAACAGCATGATCGAGGACAGAGAAGACTCAGACACCGCCAGGGGCCTGGCCCTTCTAGACATGGTGACGCCAAGCTGCTGACTGTCTCTTTAAGATCCTGAGGCCAGACTTTAGTACACTGCCCTCCACCACCCACCCCAGGTCCTGGTTAAGAATTACTGCAATTGGCCAGGCACCAGTGGCTCAGGCCTGTAATCCTAGCACTCTGGGAGGCTGAGATAGGAGCATCGCTTGAGCTCAGGAGTTCCAGACCAGCCTCAGCAAGAGCGAGACTCCTCCATTTTTCTCTACTAAAAATAGAAAAATAAGCTGTGTGTTGTGGCAGGCGCCTGTACTCCCACTACTCAGGAGGCTGAGGCAGAAGGATTACTTGAACCCAGGAGTTTGAGGGTGCTGAGAGCTAGGCTGACACTATGGCACTCTAGCCTGGGTGACAAAGTGAGAATCTGTCTTAAAAAAAAAAAAAATGCTGTATTTAACAAGGGTTGCAATGACTTTGGGAGCCCATAGTATGTTGCGAATACGAACAGTGTGGGGGCTGACACTGGACAATGCCTCCCCTAGAAAAAGCTTCAGACCGTCACCCACTTTTCAACTCTGCCACTTAAAAAATGGCACAGCCTGCAATTTAGGGAGTGGATTCAAACTCCCAGAGATGGGGAAGGTGTTAGCAATAGAAATTTTTAAAAGATTCTTACATAAAATTCAGGTTTCTCATTCTTGTGGCTTCTCATAGCTTCAGCAACTCCAAGATTATAGGCAGCAGTTTTCTGATTCCGCTCTCTAAGAGCCACATTTCTTATCTATTGCAAAAAAACTTAATTTTTAATTATACAATGTAATACAGACTTTAAAATTTCTGATTCTATTACATTAAAATAATCCAACCAAGGTAGAAACCACTGCCTTTTCTACTATTCTGGGGCTTTAGGCAGCACTACTACAGAGATATTAAGAAGAAACAGAAGATTTTATCACAAATGCAGAAAAGGTAGTGGGGTCACTTATTGGAAGCACAGAGATCTGGACAGAGAAAATGTGAAGGTGCCATTCTGTCTTTGTTTGATTGGGATAGGCCATGAATCTGAAGGATAAGAGCCTTGACCAGAGTTATAGTTTATCAGAAATCAAAAATAAAGCAATAAAAATCCAGAAATTCCACCTTTAAAATTCAGTTCTTATAGGTGAAAAATCAGTGATATGTACAAACATTCAATACACACATACTCATCCCAGTGTTGTTTATTTATTTATTTTTTTTTTTTTTGAGACAGAACCTCAAGCTGTCCCCCTGGGCAGAGTGCCGTGGCATCACAGCTCACAGCAACCTCCAACTCCTGGGCTCAAGTGAGTCTCCTGCCTCTGCCTCCCAAGTAGCTGGGACCACAGGCACCCGCCACAACGCCTGGCTATTTTTTGGTTGCAGCCGTCATTGTTGTTTGGCGGGTCCGGGCTGGGGATTCGAACCCGCCACCTTAGGTGTACATGGCTGGCACCTTAGCTGGTTGAGCTATAGGCGCCGAGCCAGTGTCGTTTATTATTAATGGAAAACTTGGACACAAGTTTTAGTTCAGATCCATGATCAGATACAGTATAATACAAACATTTAGTGGAACATTTTCAAAGGCATTTTATAATCGTGTTCTACTTTTCTGTATCAAACACTTTTTAACCAAGGTGTTGGACTACCTGGTCTCTGAAAAGAGCTTCCTGGTCTTTCAACATCTGATACTGCTGTATGACCTGCTCGTCTTCTATCTCTCTCCTCCTTCTCTCCTCTGCGAAGTACAACGGATTATTTCGTTGTGCTCGTTGCAAACATACATAGCACATTTCCTGCAATCCCAATTTCAGGACAAAAATATTTTTACAATTTACTATTTTGCCTTCACCTTCCCTTCAAGGCTCTCCAAACGCTAGGTGCATCAAGAAACACACTTTATAAAGGACACATTAGTGACAATTAGCAAAATGAGATTTGTAGAGTGGACCCCACAAATCATCTAAAAAATTTACTGAACTCTCACCTGATCAGCAGCGATTATCGCAACCAAAAATCAAAATCTCAAAAAGAGATTTCCCCACCCTATTTCTGTTAACTAGTAGAATTTGACTGGTAGATAAATTTACTACGGTTAAGTTTTTGGTTCTGAGTTTTTAAGCCATACCAAAATACCACATACGTGGGTCACTATGAAAGTTCTGAGACAGTGGTCCATTGTTTCAGCATCTTCACCAGTACAGGTTCCAACTTGCTCAGCTTGTCGGTATTGCTGGGAGGGCCTCATTTGTTTCCATCTGTGTGAGTTTTGTGTTTCTTGATTTTTGTCTATCTCAAAACTTTCATAATGACTGATGCATTATAATTAAGAAAGATTCTAAGAATTCTGTTTAGGAAACAACTTTGAATGATATCCTGACTGGGCTTTGTCTGTTTGGAGACACAGTACCTGTCCTGCCCTTTGGTGGTCCTGGCAAGCGGGGGCTGGAGATGTTCTGGGCTTCATTTCATTGTCATTTTTCAGACAACCAGGAGATGATAAGCTGTAAAAACAATGTGACTTTAATTAACGTTTAATACAATCTGACCTGCAGAGCAATGATGACTTTGAAGCAAGTATAAATACAAGATAAGAAAAATATCTCAGTGATTTACTTCAGAACAGTTACATGTGTGGAGGTTAAGAACCTGAACTTTGTGTCAGATAAAGCTGGGTTTGCACTCCAGCTATGCTGCTTACAAGCTAACTGATGTGAGATGAACTCTACAATGTCAGAGTGGACAATGTCAGATACCGGTTCTGTGAAAGAGGGATGAAATTTAATCATTCCACAAAAATGTATTGAGTCTGCACCAGATGTACTGCCCTAGGCACAGGAAAAACAGTGAAAAACAACACACACACACACACACACACACACACACAGAGAAATCCCTGTCCTTGTGGAATTAACACTCCGATGGGGATTGACAGCCAATGTCAAGATAAATAGGTCAACTCTATAGTATGTTCCACGATGGTAAATGACATGCAATGCTGCGGGAAAGGAGTGTTAGATTATAAATATGTGTAGAATGGCCAGGAATGCTCTTACCAAGAAGGTGACATTTCAGTTAATACCTAAAGAAAGTAGGAGAGCTACAGTGTAGATACTTTATGAAAAAAGACTTTTCAGGTGAGCAAAAGAGGGCAAAGACCTTGAGATGCAAGGTGCCTGTGCTCAGTGTGGTGGAGGAGCTGAGTTATGGGTGAGAAGTAGGAGAGAGGTTGGAGACAAGACAGGATCTTAGAGGCATGGTAAGGACTTTGGCTTCTTCTCTGAGCGGGTATGGGAAGCCACTGAGGTGTCTAAACAGTGGAGGAGATCATCTAACTCACATTTAAAGGATTACTTTGGATGCAGTGTTGAAAATAAACTGAATAAAGACAACAGCAGTGGCAGGAAGAACAATTCGGACTACAGGAATAACTTGAGAGAAAAGAAAACGTGGCTTGAACCAGGATGATAGAAGTAGGGATGGTAAGAAGTAGCTGCGTTCTGGATATATGCTGAAGATAGAGCTGACAGAATTTTCAAACTGGACACGAGTGTTTTTGTTTCCTCTTCAGGCCAGTGACCTTGAGCATGTTTCCAGCCAGGACCTCCTAGGTATGGGAAACATTGTCCCATTCTCTTGACTTCACAGAATCTTCCCCTTGTCAGAGACCAAGAACTGAGCCCACACCAGGTGTGAATATGGTTCCCAGCACTGCCCAATGGCCTAGGAAAAGGAATATTAAACATTGATGGAAAGAAGAGTTCGTAATGATATAACCTGAAAGTCACAAAAAACATGCAACAGAGAGAGGTACACACGGGAGAAACTTTTACACAAGATGAATTCTCAAAGCAACATTGCTAAGCTTTTAAAGCACTCCAGAACCAGAGTAACTCTGTAAGCAGACCCAACAAACGACGCGAATCACACCCAAGGAGAGAAGCAAGGAAGCAACTAGTGGTAGAAAGAAACTTCCAAGGAAGCGTCATTCAAATTCTCAGAGGTAAAGATGGAGCCGGCAAGAGCAGGCGCATAATGAAAAAGAGAACGTATTCTGTATTTTGAAAATATAATAAAATATATGGCATACAAAAGATAAAATATATCATATTCACGTTTTATCTCAATAAAGGGAAAAACAGTCCAGCATGGTTTACCTAATACTGGTATTAATTTAATCAGAAAACAGAACTGACAGCATCATATAAAAAGCAGCACAGAGATAAAAAATGACAACATAAAAAAATAAGTTGAGAAATACAGAACAGATTCAGAAGCTCAAATATACATTTAAGAGGAGTGCTGAATTTATAGGATAAAGGGAATGGCAAAGAACAATATTCTTGAAGATAATGGATAGAAATGTTTCAGAAAGTCATGACTCCTAAGAATAGTCAAACGCAGAGCATTAAGAAGGAAGAAAGACTCTTCAAAGCTACAAGAAACGATGGCAACCAGATTGACTCAGACTTCTTAGGACAACTGCCAAGGGGAAATGGGGCGGTATCATGCTGCAGGATGATAACTACGAGCCAACAACCAGCATTCAGGAGTGACAGGTTCAAAATTCACAATATGAATCTTTTTAAGCAATACAAAGATTAGACGTGCTGAAAAGACAGAGCTCCATCACAGGACGCACTTTGTTAAGAAGAAAAATGAACCCAGAGGAAGGGCAAGGATATAAGAAAGAATGTCGAGCAAAGAAACTGGTTAAATGTATTCACAAATCTAAATAATCACTGACCATAACACAAAAAAAAGTTATATACTTAAAAACAAATTGGAACAAAAGTTCTAAATGACAAAAATGCAGGTGGTTTGAAAGGTTAGAGTTTGAAGGAAATGGAAAGTATGTTAAAGAAATGTGGTCTATCCAACAGAAAGTAGAAAGGGGGGGAAATAAAGTTAGATGCATAGTAAATAGAAAATACAAAATAAGATGATAAAGATAGGTTCAAGTGCATTAGTAATTACAACTGAAAAACAAACCTTAGATTGAACTGAAAAAATTCTAATATAAGCTGTTTACAAGAGACACATAAAACAATAAAACGCACGTATACTGAGATAAAAAATAATAGCACGAAAAGGATATTCCAGGTAAATTCTAACCAAATGTTGCATAGTTAATCAGAACAACAGAAAATAAGGCAAAAATGTTGAGTAGAGAGAGAGGAGAAGATTTTATAATGATAAAAGGACTATCTACCAAAACTATATGCTTCATGGACTTAGGTGGAATTCAATGTATTGCTTAAGAAGCAAAAAGTGACAGAATTACTAAAAACTAAAAAATATATCATTACAGTAAAATATTGTTAGCATCTCTCTCAGAGAAAAAATGGCAAATACTTAAAAACTTGCAATACCTTATTCAATAAGATTTGGCATGTGTTTAAATATATGCAAATTTGCATCTAAGGAATAACACCTTTTCTTCACGTATACAGACAATTACTGTACAAATACTCAAGCCACAAAGAAAGGCTCAACAAATTACAAAGTTCCAAGTAACCAACACTGATGGAACCACAGTATAAAATAAGTAGACAACAAAAAAAAATCTCTGTTCATTTATTTAGAAACTTAAAAAAATAAAATACAAGTCTTCTAAATAACCAGTGGATTAAGTAGTGTATGAGTCTACAATCCCTTACAAAACACAGTTACTTTGCAAGTCCAGAACACAAATGCTATGAAGATTTGGTCTTTTTTTTTTGAGACAGAGCCTCAAGCTGTCCCACTGGGTAGAGTGCTGTGGCATCACAGCTCACAGCAACCTCTAACTCTTGGGCTCAAGCGAGTCTCCTGCCTCAGCCTCCCAAGTAGCTGGGACCACAGGCGTCTGCCACAACACCTGGCTATTTTTTGGTAGCAGCCATCATTGTTGTTTGGCGGCCCCAGGCTGGATTCAAACTGCCACCTTAGGTGTATGTGGCTGGCACCTTAGCCGCTTGAGCCACAGGCACCAAGCCAAGATTTGGTCATTTTTTGCAATATCTTATGTCATACTCATGTTTTTCCATTCTATCTTTTATTTCTTTGAACATTTTAGACATCTTATTTTATGTTTTGTACCTTTTAATGTTTAAGATCAAAATTCATGGGAGTTCAATTATTCCATGTTTTGTGTCTGATGCCTCTCATTATGCATTATGTGGCTTATTTACATATGGTCCTTGTAATTCTGCACTGTGACCCTATGTTTGGCCCAACTTAATCAGAAGTCATAGGAGCCTGGGTTGAGAATAAAATCTTCTAGAGCAGGGGTTAGCAAACGTTTCCAAAAAAAGGCCACAGAGTGAATATTTTAGGCTTGAGGGCCATACCATCCCTAACACAACTAGCAGGTATAGATAATAGGCAAGCAAATGGGCATGGCTGTGTTCCAATAAAACTTTATTTACAAAATCATGTGGTGTACTGGATTGACTCTCAGTTGCACCTCTTTCAGAAGATTTAGACCACCATATTGCTGAACATAGAACACTTTACTTTTTAATAACTTCTTTTAAGCTTTAAAACCTAGGGCGAGAGGGAATTCTGATTGATTCTCATCATTTGACTTAAATAACCTGTCAGATGCAACTGAGATAAGAAGATGATAATAAATGTCACATTTCTGAATGCTATGCTCCAAAAGGATTCATTTGTATTTTTAAAAGTCCTCTAAATTGGAGTGAAAATTTCAGAGATTTGCCTGCCATTATTTGCCTTCAGCACCAGCCAACCTGAACTTTCCACAGTGGACCCCGTTTTGCTCAGTGGGGCCACTTTCCCCCAGCTACCCAACCCAAAGTCTGGGGTCATGTTTGAATCTTCCATTTTCTCAGCCCCTCTTAATTAACTAATCACCAAACCCTGCTGATTCTTTCTCCTAAACAGCCAAATCTAAAACTTTCTCTCCATCTGATCTGTTTCACACCTTATTATTTTTCCCCAGACCAGTTGTACTCAATTCTTAAGCAATCAAAGTCCTACTCACCTTAGTTTAAACAAATCCCACTCAAACCCCAATACGTAAAACAGAAAAAAACCCACACACACTCCAGTGGAAGTGAAGAAATAGAGGGCAGAGTCCCACCCCCATATTACCTCACTCTCACCCTCTGAGATGGCTCTCAAGGCCTTCTGCACAGCCCTAGAGTCATTTGTTGGAACAAGTAGCCTAGACTACTGCCTTAATCTTTTACCTTGTGCCAAATCTTTCCATTTTATTATGCCTCTTCCCCTGCAGCACTAACCCTATCACTCAAAATCATTCCTTACTCTTTCAAAATGAAAATGTAATCACATGCTGACAACCCCAAACATGGTGTTTGGGGACTTGGACAGCTTGGTAAATTGGACAGGATATGTTTTAAACTTCCGTGCACTAAATTATACAGAAACAAAATTAAAAAGAAAAAAAAAGTGGAAAAATATTAAAAACATATACAGCAGAAAACTATTAATACTTATGTATAAAGTTCTCTTTATAAGAAATACAACCTGTTGGCCCAGCATGATGGCTCATGCCTGTAATCCTAGCACTCTGGAAAGCCCAGGCAGGTGGATTGCTGGAGCTAAGAAGTTTGAGACTTGCCTAGTAAGAGCAAGACCCTGTCTTTACTAAAAGTAGAAAAAATTAGCCAGATGTTGTGGCAGTGACTTTAGTCCCAGCTACTGAGAAAGCTGAGGCAAGAGGATCACTTGAGCCCAAGAGTTTGAGGTTCTGTGAGCTATTATGACTCCCGGGCATTCAAACCAAGGGTGACAGAGTGAGACTCTGTCTCAAAATTTAAAAAAAAAAAAGAAAGAAAAAAGAAATACTTTTTTCTAGGAAAAAGTGAAATAAACCTCCCAATAGAAAAAGGACACAGAATTCAAAAAACAAAATACCTAAAAAAAAAAAAAAAGCCAAGCATTGTGGCAGGCTCCTGTTGTCCCAGCTACTAGGGAGGCTGACACAAAGGAATAGCTTGAGCCCAAGAGTTTGAGGTTGATGCGAGCTATGATGCCACAGTACTCTACCCGGGATGACAAAGTGAGACTCTGTCTTAATGAAAAAAATAAAAAACCTATAATTGCAAAAGAAGAACTAAAAATGACTAGGAAATACAAATATGAAACTACTGGAAATTTTAAAAACACAAATTAAAATAATAATGAAATACCTCATTTCACCTTTGACAGAATTATCTCTTGAAGTACAATGTCCAATATTAACAAAGCTATAGAACAAATAGCAATCTTCTGATAGCACCGCTACTAGGAAGACGATTTGTTACAACTTTCCAGAAGATAATTGGCAGTGTGTATCAAAGGCATAAAAACTGGGCTCACTCCTTATCTCTGAAATTTAACTTTAAATTTTATATCCTGTGATCTACTCAGATGTGTGTGAAGAATTATGTGTAATATATTTGTCACACCATTATTTATAATGTAAAAGAACCAGAAACAAACTAAATGTCCAACAGAAGACTGGTTATACAAAATATTTAATCTTTCATTTACATAATGTACAATCATCTGTTAATGTTTTGGAATATTTAAAACAATATGGAAATTTTCACCATTTATTATAAGTTTAACAAAAGTTCATACAATATGATTTCAATTTTATCTAAAATGTATATATGTTTCAAGTATAAATATATGTATACAAGCAGTCCCCAAGTTACGGACATCAACTGACATATGATTCACACTTATGAACAGAGGTTATTACAGGCAATAGGCAAAAGTACCTGTTCCAATTTAGACATAAAATTAACAAACACAAACCTACAGAACCTATCTCATTTGTAACCCGGGGACTGCCTGTATACTATAATATATGCTTGGAAATAAAAGTCGTATACCATAATGGTAACAGAAAATTTCCTCTATGTAGAGAGGTTATTGGTGATTTTTTTGTAACTGTTACTTTTTTGTGTTTTCAAAATTTCTATAAACATGCACTATTTTAGTTATCAGTACACAAAACACTTTTTGGTCAACTTCTATGAGAAATCTTCACTAACCATCCCCCTCAACAATGAGTTCCTCCCTCCTCTTGCCAGCGTCTGAACTTTCGTTGTCTTCATAACATGAATTATTTCTTTAGTGTCAAGTCTCCCTACAGGACCATAAGTTTATCCATGAAACAGATACATTTGTAACCCCTTCATATTTTGAAATTTTTTTAAAAGACTATAAGTTTTATGAAAGTACGTTGATATGCCTTTAGCTCCATAGTTTCAGGGGTTGGAATAGTGCCTGGCACACTGGTGCTGAATGTTTATTAAACAGAACTGAATTCCAAAGCCTAATTCTGAAACTAATTCTCAATTATCTTTCATAGCAGTGAGATCATTTTTTAAAAAGCTGGCCTACAGTTTTTAATATAACTTTAATATTCTAAAAAGTACATAAATTACACACATATCTGATAAATTGTGGCACATAAATAAATTGAACACTCACAGCACAAAGCAAAGTACAGAGCTGGATGTTCAATGAACTCATGAGTAGGGTTGACTGATTTGAGGTTTTAAAAAGTCTCCTACTCAGGGCGGCGCCTGTGGTTCAAAAGAGTTGGATGCCGGCCCCATATGCCAGAGGTAGCGGGTTCAAACCTGACTCTGGCCAAAAAAAAAAGTAGAAAAAAAAGGTCTCCTACTCAAAGAGAAAAAGATAAAATATAAATCTTTTTTAGCTGGGCACAGTGGCACACAGCTTTAGTCCCAGCTTCTCAGGAGGCTGAGGCAGGAAGATTGCTTGCACCCAGGAGTTGGAGGTTGAAGTGAGCTATGATGATGCCTCTGCACTCTAGCCTGTGTGACAAGAGTGAGACCCTAACTTAAAAAAACAAAAATCTTTTGATCTAACCTTGTAGAAGACTTGGCCTGATAAATTATACTACATGCATTCATTCAAAGAATGTTTACTGAGAACTAATTTCAGACAGCTGCCACTCCTAAATTAGTTCTCAGTATGAAACTGTCACATCATAATATGCAAGCACTCAGAAAACAAGGAAAGTTGTGTAGATTATCCCAAGTCCTCAGGGAAAGTTGGGTGTTCCCACCTCTGTGCTATTTTGTTTCTGCTTCTGTCATAACATATATCCCACCAAATTGTAATTTATCTCTCTGCCTATGTCTGGCTTTCCCACTAGACTATGAAGCTTGGTCATCTCTTTTACTGCCATCACCTAGTACATTGAATGTTCTCAAGAACATTGAATAAATGAACAAATGAACAATTACTAAAATTTCCTGCATCAAGAAATGACTCAAAAATACATCAAATATAACAGAAAAAATGTCAGAGCATTACCGCGCAGGGTTCATAATCTTCCCACCACTCCCAGTTCTCTCTAACTTGCCAACATCTGTCACTTTGGCAGGGGAGTTAGTTAGTCCATCTTGAGGTCTCTTGGGTGATGAGATCTCTGGAGAATAAAGAACAAATGGAAATAAGTTTCAGCTTTCAAACCACTAACTGGATAGTTTGTACTTAACACAGACAAATTTTGACTATCTTTACCAAAGGAAATTCTCATATGAGATACACTTTCTTACCTTTAAATGATTGTCTCTTATCCTACTGTATCATAAAAAGTGTTTTTGCTGTATGTATGCAAAGAAAGCACTGTGCTAAGCATTTAGAGGCTATGAAGAGGTAAAGATCTTTCCATAGATACACAATAGTTGAAGAGAAAAATAAGATATAAACAAGAATATGAGAACTCCCATTTGTGGAGGTCTCCTCACCTGCCAACAGGGCTGAGTGCTTCAGTGTAGATAGTAACTTAGGACAATGATGCAAAGTGTCTAAATCCCGAATATATGTTACAGTCTTTAAGGGTCTGACATGTTCGGCAAAGAGGGAAGCCACTTCAGAATTCAACAATAAGAGAAGCTTTCGTGGAGGAAGTGAGATGTGAAAAGAAAACTGAATAGGACTCAGATACACTGAATGGAAGGGAAGAACGTGTTGGACTGAAGGAAAAGGATGAACAAAGGGACAAAGCTGGAGAAGGGCAGGCACATCAGAGAATGTGGATAGACGATCTTTCCCAAAGAAGGGGTCTGTGTGGGGCACAGTGGAAAACAAAGCTAAAGAAATGAAAGCACCTGACTCTTAAGCTGAAAGTTTATATGCACTCTTCTGGCCACACACCGAAGACCAACATCCACATGCCAGTGTTGATCCATTGGTATACTTTGTTTTGTTACTATATCAACAAAAGTTGTCAACATTTAGCAATCAATAGATTTCACATTTAAAGTCAGGAACTCTGAGGAGGGCCTAGTGGCTCACACCTGTAATCCCAGCACTTGGGAGGCTGAGGCAGGTAGACTGCCCAAGCTCACGAGGTCAAGACCAGCCTGAGCAAGAGGGAGACTCTGTCTCTAAAAATAATAATAATAAATAGCCAGGTGTTGTGGCAGGGGCCTGTAGTCCCAGCTACTGGGGAGGCTGAGGCAAGTGAATCACTTAAGCCCAAGAGTTTGAGGTTGCTATGGCATGGCACTCTACCGAAGGCAACAAAGTGAGACTCTGTCTCAAAAAAAATAAAAATAAAAAATAAACAAAGTCAGGAACTCTGCTTCTTTTGGAAAATCAGAAGAGTTGATGCTACTTGGGCTACATTTCCACTAAGCAATAATCTGTTACAAGAACAATCCTCACACTGTGGTCTGACAAGCCCCAAGAGTCCTGGGACCCTTTCAGAATGTCTTCTAAGTCCTAGGATTTTCTTCATATGCTTAAGCTAAAACAACCTATCACAACTGCAGACAGGTGTGAGAATCTAGCTATCTTCTACAGATATGAAAGATGTCAAACTGCCCCTTTATTTTTCATTAAAAAATGTTATTTAGGCTAATATGTCTCCCCGTCATCTTATGTCCAGCGCACATCCTGCATTTATGTTACCTGCCTGGGCCCTGAAGGCATCTGACTTTTGGCACCTGTAAGCAGTGGGGAGCCAACAAACAGGTGATAATCTAAGAGCCTGAGAGTCTTAGGGTAATGTAGTTCAGGTGGGATACAGCATTCTCAGAATAGATGACACTTGTTAGAGTGAGATATGGCCAGGCTCATAAGCAGTAAAGAGTCACAGTTTACACCCTGAATCCACTGGCCTACCTCTAATGCCTTCGTCTTTGCTGAACTTGTCTTTTAACTTGAACTTCCTTTGTCTCTCCTCTTCATCTTCTTCTATGATGGTCTCCATAGGTGATTTGTTCTCCATCTCCTTGAGCTCAATCCTGGGAATAAGCCAAGATGTTTGTTCACTGCACAGCAACTGAATAGAGGACTGCATGAACTCTCAATTTTGGGAAGCAACTAAACTAGCTCATTGATTCTGAAATAATCCCATTTCCTTCAGGAGGTGAGTGCTTTGATTAGCTGAGTACATGCCATGGACTCACTCTCTCTGAAGCTATGTCTGGGAGCTGACCCAGACCTTTCCTTTCTACACTATAGGCTCAAAATCAACTTGTATATAGAGAACTTGCTTTGAAGGCCTTGATTTAAGTTTTTGGTTTTGGTTTCAGTTTGAATTTTTCTATATCCTTTCTAATTCTCTAATCAGATGTCATAAGGATGATACAGTAAAAGGCAGTTTCTGGATAGTTTGAAGGCAAGGATTCATAGCATAGTAGACAGAGCATGCTCTGAAATGACCACTTCTCTTCTCCCTCCTTCTCTACTCTACTTCCCCATCTCTCCTCAGACAAAAATGAAGGACTTGCAAAAGTACAAATGGGGGAGAGGGGAAGTCTGTCCTGGGAGGGAGGGAGAATGTGTTCACTAGTGTGTGTAATTGGATGTTTTCTTTGGTCATATATGTGGGGGACCAGGTTGGAGTCAGAAGCAGAGGTGGAAGTATCTTCAGTAGATTCAGGGACCAACTTCACATAAACAAAACACCAACAATTGTTTTGAGTATTTAAGTCTTCCTGTGCATTTCTAGGCTCTCAAATTGCTAGGAGCCTCCACCTCTGTTCTTTAACTCACTACAATTATCATCTTTCTGGAATGCTTAAGCCAAAATATGTCAAAGGAGGCAGCAAAATGTGCTTTTCAAAACAATGAAAATGAAATTATTTTGAATCCAATTATTTATTTTTAGAGAGTTACGCAACGTGGTGCATCAGAAAAAATGCTAGAACAATCAAGAGCCATGTTTTATTTCTAGATTGTCCGCTCATTAGATGCGTAGCCATTTCATCTGTAAGATGAGGGGGTTGCACTAAGGCTTATTCTGGCTTTCACACTGGTTCTTTTGAGGTGAGTGTCAATCAGCTCTTCCAGGATAGGGTGGCTTCAAACTGACAAACACAGGAGATGCATCACTCAAAAAATATGAGAAAATAATAGTTAGGAACTGGTTGTTATTCCCCAAACTTCTTCCAGCTAAAATGGACAATGGTTAATGTAACAATAATTAAAATCAAGACCACAATTAAGGGTACACAACAAGTGAGTGATAGCCAAGCTGGAAATAAAACTCAAGTTTCCTGACTCCTATTTCAGTTTCTTAATAATGCAGCATATAGCTTCACTCATTTAAAAGAAAAATGAACAAAATTTAAATTACATTTGTATCTCTATAAAATAGAAAAAATTATAATACCTATGTCAGATGATTATAGTGAAAATTAAATATAGTGACTACTAACATCATCACCAAATAAGCTGCCCACCACCAGGGCCCATGGGCTACTATACCACAGAGAAGAGTCATGGCCTCCATTCAGGTTGAAGGCAGCATGAATGATCCATGAATGTGTCTTTGGGCATATTTAGCCACATCCTTTGGTACAGGAGAAGGAGGAAAGCCATCACTTGGAAGTCCTGTTTTGAGGGACTCCTCAAAACCTTAGGCCAGAGGCAGAGTAACTTAGAGCAAGAGGAAGTGAAAGGAAAATTAGGGCGAGGAAACAGATGAGGAAGAATCAGCAGAAAAATCCTGGCAACATGAAAAACCAGTCCAGAGCAACCCCTTCCAAGGGACCATGAGGTAGCTACTGCAGAGTATTCTACCTGTAAAGAAATGTTGGAAATGACAGAAGGGGAATTTAAAATACAGATGATGAAAACAATGAAAGAAATTGCTGAGAAAGTAGAAAATAACCAAAAGGAAATCCAAAAACAGAATCAAATAAGAGAAGAGCAATATGAAGAATATAGAAAGGATATATTACAGCTGAAGGAATTGAAGGGAATTCCTTAGGGAATTTAAAGATGCATTAGAAATTATCAACAACAGATTGGACCATGCAGAAGAAAGAATCTCAGAGGTAGAGGACAAAGCTCTTGAGATAACTCAGATAGTTAAAGAGGCAGAAAAAAGAGAGAGAGCAGAACATTCACTAACAGAACTATGGGACTTTATAAAGTGTTCAAACATATGAGTTATAGGTATCCCAGAAGGGGAAGAAGAATGGCCCAGAGGAATGGAAGCCATACTAGAGAATATTATAAATGACAATTTCCCAAATATCACCAAAGATTCTGACACACTCCTTTCAGAGGGATATCAGATCCTAGGTAGCCTCAACTCAAATAGAGCTTCTCCAAAGTCAAGACAAAAGAAAAGATTTTGCAAGCTGCCAGGAGTAAGCACCAATTGACTTACAGGGGTAAATCCATCAGGGTGACAGCAGACTTCTCTAATGAAACTTTTAAAGCCAGAAAACAATGGTCATCTACCTTTAATCTATTTAAACAAAACAATTTCCAGCCCAGAATTCTATATCCTGCTCAGCTAAGCTTTAAAATTGACAGAGAAATCAAATCTTTTACTAATATACAAACATTGAGGAAATTTGCCACAACAAGGCCAGCTCTACAGGTAACACTTTAATCTGTTCTACACACTGAACATCACAACAGACCACCAGCAAAGTAAGCACCCAGAAATTAAAAGACAGAATCTAGCTTCCACAATGATGTAAAATATAAAACTAAGCAATGGATTTTCACAAAATAAGATGAATAGAAGCTACCACATTTATCAATTATCTCAATAAATGTTAATGGTTTGAATTCCCCACTGAAGAGGCATAGGCTGGCTGCATTAAAAACACAAGCCATCCATTTGCTGTCTGCAGGAAACACACCTAACCTCAAAAGACAAATTAAAACTCAGAGTTAAGGGTTGGAAGACAATTTTTCAGACAAACGGAATTCAGAAGAGGGGTTGCAATTTTATTTTCAGATACACATGGATTTAAAATAACTAAAGTCAAAAAAGACAAAGATGAACACTTCATTTTGGTCAAGGGAAAAATATAACAAGAAGACATTTCAATTCTAAATACATATGCACCCAACTTAAATGCTCCCAGATTCTTGAAACAGACCTTAATCAGTTTGAGCAATATGATATCTTATAACACCATAATAACAGGGGACTTTAACATTTCTCTTACAGAGCTAGATAGATCCTATAAGCAGAAATTAAACAAAGATATAAGGGACTTAAATTAGACCCTAGAACAACTGTGCTTGACAGACGTTTATAGAACACTCCATCCCAAAGATAAAAAACATACATTTTTTTCATTGTCCCATGGAACATTCTCCAAAATTGATCATATCCTAGGACACAAACCTCAAAAGAATCAAAAGAATTGAAATTTTACCTTATGTCTTCTCAGACCACAAGGCATTAAAAGTAAAACTCAACTTCAACAAAAACGTTCAACCCCACATAAAGGCATGGAAATTAAACAGCCATATGCTGAATGACAGTTGAGTGCAGGAAGAAATAAAAGAGGAAATCATTAACTTCCTTGAGCATAACAACATGAAGACACAAGCTACCAAAACCTGTGGTATACACCAAAAGCAGTCCTGAGAGGAAAATTTATTGTTTTAGATGCCTACATCCAAAAAACAGAAAGAGAGCACATCAACAAACTCACAAGCCATCTTATGGAATTGGAAAAAGAACAATCTAAGCCTAAACCCAGAAGATGAAAAGAAATATCCAAAGTTAAATCTGAGATTAACAAAATTGAAAACAAAAGAATCATTCAGAAAATTAATGAAACAAGGAGTTGGTTTTTTGAAAAAATAAGTAAAATAGATAAACCTTTGGTCAGACTAACTAGAAATAGAAAAGTAAAATATCTAGTAACCTCAATCAGAAATGATAAAGGGGAACTAACAACTGATGCCACAGAGATACAGGAGATTATCTCTGAATACTACAAGAAACTCTATGCCCAGAAATTTGACAATGTGAAGGAAATGAATCAATATTTGGAATCATGCCCTCTCCCTAGACTTAGCCAAGAAGAAATAGATCTACTAAACAAACCAATTTCAAGCACCGAGATCAAAGAAACAATTAAAAATCTCCCAACAAAAATATGCCCTGGTCCAGATGGCTTCACACCTGAATTCTGTCAAACCTTCAAAGAAGAACTTCCCACACTGCAGAAATTATTCCAAAAAAATTGAGGAGGAAGGAATCTTCCCCAACACATTCTACAAAGCAAACATCACCCTGATACCAAAACCAGGAAGAGACCCAATTAAAAAGAACTTCAGACCAATTTCAACAAAATCCTAGGCAATAGATTACAGCTTATCATCAAAAAAGTCACACATTATAATCAAGTAGGTTTCATCCCAGGGATGCAAGGCTGGTTTAACATACGCAAGTCCATAAACATTATTCACCATATCAAAAGAAGCAAAAACAAAGACCATATGATCCTCTCAATAGATACAGAAAAAGCATTTGATAAAATTCAGCATCCTTTTCTAATTAGAACACTGAACAGTATAAGCATAGGTAGCACATTTCTTAAGCTGATCAAAGCCATCTATGACAAACCCACAGCTAATATTTTACTGAATGGAGTAAAACTGAAAGCTTTTCCTCTTAGAACTGGAACCAGACAAGGTTGTCCTCTAATCACCACTACTATTCAACATAATGCTGGAAATTCTAGCCAATACAATTAGGCAAGAGAAGGAAATAAAGGGCATCCAAATGGGAGCAGAGGAGATCAAACTCTCCCTCTTTGCTGATGATATGATCTTATACTTAGAGAACGCCAAAGATTCAACCACAAGAATCCTGAAAGTCATCAAAACTACAGTAATGTCACAAGATATAAAAATCAATGTCCATAAATTAGTAGCCTCTGTATACACCAATAACAGCCAAGATGAGAGGCTAACTAAGGACACAACTCCCTTCACCACAGCTTCAAAGAAAATGAAATGCCTAGGAATATACCTAACAAAAGAGGTGAAGGACCTCTATAAAGAAAATTATGAAACCCTAGGAAAAGAAATAGCAGAGGATATTAACAAATGAAACAACATACCATGTTCATGGCTGGGAAGAATCAACATTGTTAAAATGTCTATACTTCCCAAAGCAATCTACCGATTCAATGACATCCCTATTAAAATACCAACATCATACTTTCAAGACTTGGAAAAAATAATTCTTCATTTTGTATGGAATCAGAAAAGACCCTGTATAGCTAAGGCAGTTCTTAGTAATAAAAACAAAGCTGGGTGGGGACAGCATAGCAGACTTTAGGCTGTACTCCAAGGCCGTAGTGGTCAAAACAGCATAGTATGGGCATACAAATAGAGACATAGACATTTGGACTCAAATAAAAAACCAGGAAATGAAACTAACATCAAACTAGTCTTTAATAAACCAGACAAGAACATACAGTTGGAGAAAGACTCCCTATTCAATAAATGGTGCTGGGAGAACTGGATATCCACATGTAAAAGACTGAAACTGGACCTGCACCTTTCTCCACTCACAAAAATTGATTCAAGATGGATAAAGGACTTAAATTTAAGGCATGAAACAATTAAAATCCTCAAAGAAAGCATAGGAAAAACACAGAAGATATCAACCTGGGGAAAGACTTTATGAAGACTTCTGTAGCAATTGCAACAACAAAAATAAACAAATGGGACTTAATGAAACTGAAAAGCTTCTGTACAGCTAAGGAAACAACAACCAAAGCAAATAGACAATCTACAAAATGGGAAAGGATATTTGCATATTTTGAATCAGACAAAAGCTTGATAACTAGGATCTATAGAGAACTCAGATTAATCCACATGAAAAAAGCCAACAATCCCATGTATCAATGGGCAAGAGACATGAATAGAACCTTCTCTAAAGAAGACAAATGGTTAGCAAACATATGAAAAAATGCTCATCATCCCTAATTATTAGAGAAATGCAAATCAAAACCACCCTGAGATATCATCTACACCTAGAGAGAATGGCCCACATCACAAAATCTCAAAACTACAGATGTGGGTGTGGATTTGGAGAGAAAGGAACACTTTTACACTGCTTGTGGGACTGCAAACTAATACAACCTTTTTGGAAGGAAGTATGGAGAACCCTCAAAGAACTCAAGCTAGACCTCCCATTTGATCCTGCAATCCCATTAGCGAGCATCTACCCAGAAGGAAAAAAATCCTTTTACCATAAGGACACTTGCACTAGACTGTTTATCACAGCTCAATTTACAATTGCCAAATGTGGAAACAGCCTAAATGCCCACTAACCTAGGAACGGATTAACAAACTGTGGTATATGTACACTGTGGAATACTATGCAGCCATTAAAAAGGATGAAGACTTGGGCAGCACCTGTGGTTTAAAAGGGTAGAGCACTGGCCCCATATGCCAGAGATGGCAAGTTCAAACCCAGCCCCAGCCCAAAAAAAAGATGAAGACTTTATATTCTTTTTATTAACCTGGATGGAAATGGAACACATTATTCTTAGTAAAGCATCACAAGAATGGAGAAGCATGACTCCTATGTACTCAATTCTCATATAAGGAAAATTAATGACAATTAATGAGAGATTATCAATGACAATTTATGACAATGAGAGAAGAAGGCGGAGGTGGGGGAAAAGAAGAGCAGAGAGAAGGAAGGAGGGAGTGGAGGTGGGAGAAGGGAGAAAGAAGGAGGGAGGAGGGTAGGAGAAGGGAAGGGGAGAGGGAAAGAGGGGGGAAGGAAGAGCAGAGAGAGGGAAGGAGGGAGTGGGGGGAGAAGGGAGAGGGAAGGAGGGATGGGGGAGAAGGGAAGGGGAGAGGGAGGGGAGAGAAGGGAAGGGGAGAAGGAAAGGAGAAGGGGGTGGGAGAAGGGAAAGGAGAGGGAAGGAGGGAGGGGAGTGGGGTCTGGGTGTGTGACACACCTTTTGGGGGCAAGAAATAATTATAAGAGGGACTTTACCTAACAAATGCAATCAGTGTAACCTGGTTTCTTGTACCCTCAATGAATCCCCAACAATAAAAAAAAGAAATTAAATATAGCAGTGCATAGCCACCCACTGTGTTCATGGCACAAAGCTGTTCCTTTATTCTAATCTTATCTTTTTAACCCATTTAGTGGTAAAAATCTGAGCTCAGACAGGAAGTGGACTGGACTGCAGGAAGAGGAAGAAGGTAGTCAGGGGAAGTAGTGGATAGTAGGAGAAAGTCCAGCAGGTAAGAAGAATTTAACATTGCAGGGACGAAGGAGTTGGTAGGTGGTATCACAGAATTTCCAGGAAGCCAAGAGTAGTTTAAATAAAGGATATTCTAAACGTCTATTGTTAATTAACTACAGAAAGTGTAGCAGTAAACTCTTCTTTGCTGGTGCATTTAGAAAGGGAGAGGAGCTACAAAAAGCTGAGAAACTGATCAGCAGATCAGCAAGGAGAGCTGGTGGCCTGCAGGGACCCAAGCAGCATGGCACTCACCTTGGAAATGCAAGCCCACCGCTGAGCGGCTTCCTCAAGCCCTCTCTGCTGGAGATCACTGAGTCCACAGTGCCAGGCCTCTGGAGGACAGTGACAGAGACAGAGCAGGGTTACACCCAGGCTGTGGTTCAGGGCACAGACAAATGAGATATTACAGCTATCTCAAAGGCAAAGCTACCATGATACTTTTCATTGTCTTTGTTTAGTGCTTCAAGTTCCAAGCTTAAAATCCAATGAAGAATGATCTCATCTCATCAAACCAGTCACCATGGGGTGGGTAGTAGCAACAATACTGCCTTTTCTTAGAACATTTCCTCTTTGGAAATGGTCTGCAGAGTTGACAACTTCTTTTAGACATCTTTAAGAGAAGAGCAGACTTCCCAAAACTATCTGGAAAATGCGTGAGCTCTCTAATTTCACTCTTGGCCCAAATGACTCCAAAATTAGGCAGTTAAGAGAAGGGGTTTGGAGTCAGGTGGGCTTATATTCAAATCCCAACCTTGCTAACAGCTATGTGGCTTTATCCACAAGGTTTATGGGAAGAATAATAGATCCAATATATAGGACTTCTACAAGGTACTCTATGAAAGTAGCTAATACATAGTAAGCACTGAACAAATAGCTACTGTAATTTTTATATAAATTATATACATCATTACATTATTAGTAAAAAATAATATGTAAAATAGTGACATGTTTTGGCCAGGTGCAGTGGTTCACACCTATAGTCTCAGCTACTTGGAAGGCTAAAGCAGGAGGATCACTTAAGCCCAGGAGTTGGAGGCTGCAGTGAGCTTCGATGACACCACTGCACTCTAGCCAGGGTGACAGAGCAAGACTCTGTCTCAAGAAAAAAAAAAAATTAATTCTGCATGAATGCTATACCTTACAAAAGGCTTTGAAGGGAATTCTCAAAAACAAGTTTTAATATATTTCTAACAAAGCAGCATTGCTGAAATAAACTCTCAGTTTCCCAAGTATTTTTACAGAACTGCACTCAGGTTAAAGTTATGGGACATTTGAGAATAAATGATAACTCCCACTGCTTTACAACAGCCTCCCAAAACATGCAGAGTTAATGAGCTATTAGTAAATACTGGATTCGCTTGGAGCGCCTCTCCATCGGGCAGTTAAACTGGCTGCTACACAGCCAGGCCTTTCAGGACCCTTAATATGTGGCTGTGCTTCATGCCTCTGCCCAGGAGGGAGCTTGATACCATCAGCCTGCTTTAGCTTTCAAACCTTTCTTCACAAAGTATCTCCCAGGACTAGCTTTTTTACAAAATGTTCCTTAAAAATTATGCTTTAGAGTTCAGCAAGTAAAGGAAAATGTCATTTTCTCTTTTAAACATGCATTGAAGCCACAAAGCTCAATAGAATCTCTGAGAGGTAGAGATGAGCTAGCTACTCTGGCCTTGCTTGTGGATTTGCAAATCTTGCCTTGTGCTTGCATGGGGAAAAAGATTTTTCCCTGTGAGTGTTTCCATTTTCCACACACAGAGCTGGTGTCTCTCTTAGCAATCTGGAATGAAACCAGACTGTGTAGAAAACACTGAAAGCCTCGTCACACACAACTTCCATCTCCTAAACCCCTATTCCAAAGCTTCATGAAAGGAGACATGAGCGGAATTAGATGATATGCATAGCCTTTTCATTTAAAAATCAGGTTTTGGGGGCAGCACCCGTGGCTCAAGGGAGTGGGGTGCCAGCCCCATATACTGGAGGTGGCGGGTTCAAACCTGGCCCTGGCCAAAAACTGCAAAAATCAAGCTTTTGCTCTATGAGATAGAGAATTACACAACATTCTGTGGTAATTCAATTCATTCATATCAACTTTGTTAGTTCCCAGATTTATGTACCTAAGGCACATGACATATTCAATATTTCCTATTGATAGACTAGGAAAACATTAACTTACATTAGCTAAGGCTTTTGCCAAAGCCCCACTTCCGTCCATGGCACAAAGGAAGTCCTTATAAAATCTCATCTTCACTTTGCCATCTTTGATCACAAGGACCCCGATTCCTTTGAATGAAAACTCCACGATCTGTCTGATGGAAATGGATCGCGACAAGAAAAGCAACGTCTCCTTCACACATCCTTCCACTACATCCCTGTTGAATGGACTTTCCAGGGATATCAGGACAAAATTCAGTGGAACAACTGGGATATCACCTAGAGGAGAAAAAGACAGTTGGGAAAGGAAGAGATGATTACAATAAAGACACAAATAATTATCTGATTCTCGTTTAATACTGAAAAATAGAATTGTCCGTGTGAAGCCTCTAGTTGTATCCAATGTAATATTGTTACTGCTGACAGTTAACACAGGTAGTTATCAACACATATTAGTCAATAAAGTTTTCTTTAAAAGTATAAGGTTTTATGCTCAAAATAAGGACGATTCACGTCTACACACCACTGTAGACAAGCTGTTGGTTTTCTCTAGGACACATTTTTTTTTTTTTTTTGAGACAAAGCCTCAAGCTGTCCCCCTGGGTAGAGTGCTGTGGCATCACAGCTCACAGCAACCTCCAACTCCTGGGTTCAAGCGAGTCTCCTGCCTCCGCCTCCCAAGTCTCTGGGACAACAGGGACCTGCCACAAGGCCTGGCTATTTTTTGGTTGCAAGCATCATTGTTTGGCGGGCCCGGGCTGGATTCGAACCTGCCACCTTAGGTGTGTGTGGCTGGTGCCTTAGATACTTGCGCCACAGGCGCCGAGCCAAGACATCTTAATAATCAACCACTTCTCTTCATCAGAAGGTTTTCTAAAGTTTTCAGCCCCTTTACCTTTCACTGGGGCACTATTTGCCTGTCTCTACCAGTTATCACATTATTTTTAAATGATTGTAAATATCTACAGATGTTAAATGTTTTGAAAAGACAGTCACCTTCACTCGAAGTTCTTTGAGTGAAATTGGGTCTTACACAGAAGGGCATCAGACAGAATGACTTGCAGAATGTTTTTCCCCTCTACCCAGCCCACCCGTGACAATGCAAAGGAGTAAGATTACATCTGCTTGAAGGAAGCACTGGATCTATTCAACTAGAACAAATGTAAGAGCTGGGCAAGGTCCACAAGTCAGAAAGGGTGAAGAAGAAAGACTCAAGATGATGCAAAGGTCAAGGAGACAACAGAGGAACAGAACAGAGAGAAGCAGAGGGATTCTAAACATTGACTCAGCACGCATGAACTACAACCTTTCAAGTGTCCAACATGGCTGAGTGATGAGGATTGACAGCTCTACCAAACATGAGTTTCACTGTATCAGCCCCCCATCTCCTCCTGCACAGTTTAATAGTAGTTCTCTACCATCATCCTTCTTTTTCTTTTTATTAATATAGATTTCTTAAAAAAGAAAGCGATCTTGCCTGCCTTTGGATTCTCGCCCCTACCATTCTGTGCAATCTTACCCTCTGCCTCTTGCAATTCTGTGCAATCTTACCCACTGCCTCTGTGCAATCTGTCTTTAAACACACTCATCCCCACAAGGGCACTACCATGTCATGGTGGCAAGTCAATGGGTACTTTGCAAATCTCTCACAACCTCCCTGTAACTCCTGTTGTCCACACTCTCTTTTCTTTTGTATCCTTGACACCACTCTTGGTTCTCCAATTTTCCTCTTCCTTGGTCTCCTTTGCTGGTTTCTCTCCTACATCTGAGACGATACTAAGGTTGTTTCTTAAAAAAAAAAAAAAAATCAGGATTCTATCCTTGTCTGTCTCTTCTTTCTATATATCCTTTCCTGGGTAAACTTATCCAAATCTTGATGTCTAGTCTCTATCCCTCTCCTAAGCTCTAGAATCACCTCTACCTCAATATCCCTACAGTGATATTGAACATGTTCTAGGACCCCTGAGCATCAAATTCAACATGTTCAAAAGCAAACTTATTAGTTTATCCACCACCAAAACCCGCCTTTCCCCTTTATTCCCTATGGCAGCTATTGGAGAATACAGCTTCCATCTATTCTCCAAACAAGAACTCTTCTTAAATACCACCTTTCTCCTTTGGTACCCACCACTCTCAACATCATCAGTCGTATCCATCTATCAATTCTATATGTGAAACGTCCTATGAATAGTTTCCCTCATTTCCCTCCTGAGCGTCACGGCCTTCACTTGGGCTTTTACTGTATTGTAGCAAACTTCTATAACTGAAAGAGCTATCTTACAAATAATTCCCTGATCAGTAACTTTCAATGGTTCCTTGGTGCCTACAGGACAAATTCTAACATCCTTATCATACCATACAAGGCCCCTCAGAATTGGCCCCTACCTCCCCTTGTTTTTTTACCTCCCTCCACTTGCTTCCACAATCATATGCCCTAGCCATACAAAAGAACCCATTTCTTCCGTAAAGGCGTCACTCCTCACCTTATTCTTGTTCATTCTGTTCCTGAAATACCTTCCCCAGCTTCTCTGCTGGCAGACTCCTCTGTCATCCTCTAAGACCTTTTCACATGTCATCTTCCTAAACCTCCCCAAGCAGAGGTAGGCGTGCTGTCCCCACAACATTCGATCCAGTTAAAATCAATGCTGCTTTATAACACTTAATCATGCTGCATCATTTGCTTTTATATTTATTGTCTATCTTAGATCCTGAGCTCTTCAAAACAAGACCCATGTCTTACCAATCTTTAAAGACCTCTATACAATGTTTGGTCAGTTACCTCATTAATTGACAATGAAAAATCACAACCCCAAAACTAAACTGTAGACAGCATTTTTTTGAACTAATCAGTCATATATTTTTAACTTTGAAATTTCCTCATCTTGCAAAAAATTAATTCTAGATCTAAACTACTTTTGGGGGACTATACTATAAGTTCTATGGTTAAAAGAAAGTTTTTGTTTATTTGTTTGTTTTTGAGACAGGGTCTTTCACTGAGTCATCCAGACTGCAGTATAGTGGTACAATCATAGCTGACTGCAGTTCAAGAGATCCTCCTGCCTCAGCCTCTCAATATCTGGACCACAGGCATGCATTACCATGCCTCACTATTTTTTTTTCTTTTTATGGATAGATTCTCACTGTATTGCCCAGGCTGGTCTCAAACTCCTAGCCACAAGCAATCCTCTTGCCTCAGCCTCCCAAGTAGCTGGGATTACAGGTGCAAGCTACCATGCCTGGCAAAAATAAGCTCTAATTCAAAAGCACAGATGTTTTTGCAAAAATGTTGGTTTTATTTTCATTTCCTTTAGTAGATTTTTGATGAAATATGATACACTTCATCTCTCATTAGACTCTAGGTAAAAATGGGTGAAAGTTCATCAAACCCAGCCTGCTAAAGATACGCAGAAGGAATTCTAAGCATAGTTTGCCGGCATTTGTTTTTCCAATATGTCACTTTGGTAGAAAGTTACTCTGAAAATTAACTTTCAGGAAAATTATCTTAAAGGAAAATTACAGTTACTATCTTTCCTTATCCAAGTATGAGTCTGATGCAGGAGGGGGAAATAAGGAAGATCAAAAGGCACACAGGCAGGCATCAAGATGGACGCACCCAGAGGCCTCTAAGTGACCAAGGCTGGCGTCAGGAAGCCCACACGTCCATGGAAGTTGATGGATGTGTCCTGCGGCGGGGATTACATCTGCTTTGTTTGCTACTAGGCCTAACACATAGTTGACCCTCAGTAAACATTGGGTGACCCAAAGGTTGCCCATAGAGTCACCACACCCAAGGAAAATGGGAAATTGTAGCCAAATGTACCTTTTTTTTTTTTACAAAATATTCATTACAAAATTTTACAAAATATTTTCTACATGTTGGCCACCTGTTCGTAAACATTACAGAAGGAAGAAAAGTTGGTTTTAGGGTATGAGAAAGACATCTAAGGTATATCTTATGGAATTATTCAATTTCTAACTTTAAATTTTAATAATTCAGATTATATGTATTATTGAAAAGTGTTTAGTTATCTTTTTCACTGCTGATACTGACTGTAATTCTTCTAACTAGAGACCCTAATTAACTTTATCTCTTCATAAATACTTTTAACTTCTTAGATGATGAAATATGAATAAAGGTCTGCACAAGTCTGTGGTGTAGCTCTTGCGTAAATTTGCTTTTCTGTCACATCAGGTCTTTTCATGCCTGACTCAAGTTACTGGGGTTTAAAGTGGCCCCAGGAAGACTCTATGTTTTCCCACCGTGGCTAAGGAGACCATGTGAAAAGTGAGCCCCTCCAATTCAAAACCAATAAAGCAGCACTGTCCAAATCTTTGCCCTTTCATTTCTATCCCCAGGCTGGCAATCCTTTAGAAGAATCTTAAATATTAAAATTATTTACCAGGAGTATATACTTTGTTTTGTTTGAGTCCGTGGAGCTGTATTAATTTCTCCGACATGACAAACACAGGCCTCTGGATTAGAACAAACTTGCTGTGTCCCACATCAGTCTTTTGCCTCGTGAAAGTAAAAGTTCCAAATCCGGAAATGTGAACCCCCTGGAAGGGAAAAGGAAGGAGGAAAATAGTAAGAAAAATAATTCATCAAAGGGACAAGAAAATAATCTTTAGTATTGTTCTACAAAAAACCTGAAAAGAATTAAGCTTAGGCTTTATAACTTCAATGCTATTCACGACCCCTTGTAGCTATAACATTTTATAATTCTAAGTTTTGAAATAAGATGTAATATGTTGGCCTACAATGACTTACAGACATCAGACCCTTCACATCCAGTCATTAAAAGGCTAAGACATGTGCATGAATGTCTTAAATTCTTTTTTTTAATTTTTATTAATTTTTTAATTTCAGATTGATGTGAGTGTACAGTGAGGTTATAATGTTTGCAGAGCTTCTGTTGATAAATATCTATGATTACTTTGTCCTAAACTGTCTTTTAAATTTCAGTCATTTGCCATTAGTGGACTCTAAGAGGGCATGAGACACTTGGCTTTCTCATTCCCTCCGTTAGATTTTGTCTGCCACTTAAAATCAGATAAGCTGGCTCCAAGTCCTATGTTGCAATGTAGTGATGTTTCTGATGGGTAGAAGCAAATGTCGTTGGCTCTCGGAAACTGGATTTCTGTCTCTCTGATTACAAAATCAAATACCTATGGGAACCACAGCAGAATGCTAGGAATTGAAGGTGGCCAAGCAGTGGCTGGACAGTGCATGCTGTATCTAAGGGGAGAGCCCGTGGCTGGCTGCAGCCAAGTATCACCACGTAGGAATGGGAAATTGGCATTATTAGGTCATCTGACTTTTCAAGAAAAGGGAGGAAAAGAATCCAAAACTTTACATAAACATTTCAAATTTAAAGTGTGATAACTAACAAAAATTCTCAAACTGGGCAGTGCCTGTGGCTCAAAGGAGTAGGGCACTGGCCCCATGTGCCGGAGGTGGTGGGTTCAAACCCAGCCCCAGCCAAAAACTGCAAAAAAAAAATTCTCAAACCAAACAAAATATGTCTGAAGAATGAACTCCACGTGGACTTCTCATAGTGCTGAGTAAGGTATAAAAAAGCTTCACTACTTCCCAACTCCCTCAAGCTCCCCCCCAATCTCCACCCTGTTCTACAGCATCTAAACCCAAGACTGACAGGAAGAAATGGTCCGGCCCTGGATAAAGTTTCTCATACCTTTAGCAGGTTGAGTTTGGCTCCTGTTTTCACAAATTTCAGTTACCAACCATTCACTACAAGAAGACCAAGCGAGAAGCAGTGTGTCCTTGTACAACTATACAGGGAATCTATTAGATCCCAGAACTCACTGAGTTTCTTTACAAAAACCCAGGCCAATCAGTACTACACTCTATGTCACTAGATGAGCAGAACTTAAACTTCATCACCTAAGAATAAGATTAATGTTTGTTACCATTCAATTCAATAAAAAAAAAAAAAAAAAAAGATTAATGTTTGTTAAATCTACTATCCACAAGCCCTACATGTGAGTATCATAAAATCACAGGACTGAAGCTTAAACTGAGTGACTCTGAAGTCTATTACTCTGCTTCCAGAAAAATTATATAAGACATGGAGGAAGGACCCTCTGCACTTCTACATTACAATTAAAGTACAAATACTGCCTTGTGCTACTGAGGGCGACAAAGTGAGACTCTGTCTCAAAAAAAAAAAAAAGTACAAATACTACCTTGTGCAGGGTTAGCTGCCGTTCCACAAATTCCGACACATTGTTCCAGATCGTGGCAACTTCTGAAATTCAAAGGAAACCAGAAATAATTTATGTGAGCACCCATGTGATAGTATCCTAGTGCTAATGAATAAAAGTGTAAATATGAAATAAGAAATCAAATGACAATTCCTAGTTAACTTAGAATTAACCAAAAATAAAGTCATTCTCCAAAGTTAATTTTCCTTTTATCCATTTAAGTTCCAAAGATGTGATTTTAAAAAGCAATAATGAATTTTTGAAGAAAACCTTTCTACAATAAAGCAAACTCTGTCAGGCACTGCCTCTCTGCTCTTTAAACAGAGTTAGCCAAGAGGAAGCTAGGCTTCTCTTCATGACCCATTCAACAGCCATTCATCAAGTGTCTGCTCCATGCCATCTGATTAATGCAGACATTTATTTTTATACCATTCCATGACAAGCATAAGAAGAAGGGCCACTAAAGGCAAGAAAGGCTATTGGTTGTCTGGACACTTCTGGACACATCTGTTTTTGCTAAATTCTTAAATCTACATTTTATTCTCATGTTTTCACTGTTAGACCATTATCTTTCACTTCTCTCTGCTGCTCTCTCTCTCCAGGCTCCCTCTCTCATCCTAATTCACTGCTACTTATCTGCTGTGTTCTGGAAATAACAAATATATAATCTCTAAAACACTGGTTCTAAAAAGCACACCTTTGAATGGGGGCCCCCAAATCTTTACTTTGAATTTATTTATACTTTGCACAATCAACTTTGACTAGTTGGAGAGAGGTCCTCTGTGCTTATTTGCTTGTTCTAAACTACGTTCCAAAAAACTGTGGTAGGAAAAGAGGTAGTTGCCCATAACTGAAGTGTTAATGTAAGATAAGAACATACGCTAGGTAGAACTGATATTTAGAAATATAGAAAATTATATCTGTGTGGACATTGTCATTCCAAACTAGTCATGTATTTATTAAAGATACTTTACAGTTAGGAACTCCTTGCAAATAAAAAGTATTACAATTGTTAGTTAGTTAGTTAGTTTGTTTTTGAGATACAGTCTCACTCTGTCGTCCTGGGTAAAGTGCTGTGACATCATAGCTCACAGCACCTCAGACCACCTCCCTGAGGAGGTGGGACTAGGGATGGGGTCTTGCTCTTGCTCAGGCTGGTCTTGAACTCCTGAGCTCAGGTGATCCACTCACCTCAGCCTCTCCGAGTGCTAGGATTACTGGCATGAGCCACCACACCCAGCCCCAAGAGTGTTAAGTTTTAATTCTCAAAATAAAAGATCAAGAGTATTTACCAGGTAGCCATAGATAGACTCAGTGGGAGAAAAAATCCAGCTCTTTTCCCACTTTATTCCCACTTATTTTTCCCGCTTGATTTATCCGTATAACTTATTTTCACCACTGGTTTAAACTACTAACTAAAGCAGGTAGATGGCAATATTTTAATCCTGGCACATGATAAATATTTTGGTTTACATACCAGGCAAGGGGCAGGCTTGGTGGATAAGAAGTAGCAGTGACTCTCATAAACCCCAGAGTTTGAGGTTGGTGGGAGGTAGGCTGATGCCACTGAATTCTAGCCTAGGGCAACAGAGTAAGACTGTCTCACAAAAAATAAAGTGACTCCAAAGTTTCTACTGAGAGGCAGAAAATACAGAGTAGTCAACAAAATATCAAACAAAAAGAATAGGCTGGACGTGGTAGCTAACACCTGTAATCCTAGCATGCTGGGAGGCCTGGGTGGCTGGTTCGCTTGACCTCACAAGATTGAGACTAGCCTGAGCAAGAGTGAGACCTTGTCTCTACCAAAAATGAAAAACTGAGGCAAGAGGATCACCTGAGCCCATGAGTTTAGGGGTGCTGTGAGGTCACGGCACTCTACCCAGGGCAACAAAATGATACTCTGTCTCAAAGAAAGAAGAAAGGAAGGAAGGAAGGAAGAAAGGAAAAAAAAAAAAGAACAAAGTCAGAGGACTGACATTTCCCACTTCCAGACCACCATAAAGCTACAGTTGTCAAGACAGTGTGATACAGACAAAGGAACAGAAAAATGAATCAGTGGAACAGAATAAAGAGGCCCCAAATAGACCCACATAAATAGTCACCTGATCTTTGACAAAGGAATGAAGACAAGATACAATAAAACAAAGATAGTCTTTTATACAAATGTTGCTAGAACAACTAAACATCCACATGCAAAAACAAAAAGAATCTAGGCACAGACTTTACACACTTCATAAAAATTAATTCAAAATGGATTATAGACCTAAACGTAAAATACAAAACTATAAAACTCCTAGGATGAAACCTAGGTGACCCTAGGTATGGCAATGACTTTTTAGATACAACATCAAAAGCATGATCCACCAAAGAAATAATTTATAAGCTGAAATTCATTAAAATTTAAAACTCTACTCTACAAAAGATGTCAAGAGAATGAGAAGACAAGACTCAGCCTGGGAGAAAATACTTGCAAAAGGCACAACTAATAAAAGACTGTCACCCCAAATTCACAAAAGATTTTTAAAACTCAGCACTCAGACAAGGCACCACACACCTGCAATCTTAGCACTCGGGAGGCCCAGGCAGGAGGATCCCTTGAACTCAGGAGTCCAAGACCAACTTAAGCCAAGATCCCCACCTCTACTAAAAATAGAAAAAATGGCCTTGTGTTGTGGCAAGTGCCTGAAGTCCCAGTTACTTGCAAGGCTGAGGCAGGAGGATCACTTGAGCCTGTGAGTTTGGAGTTGCAGCTAGGCTGAGGGAACAGTACTCTAGTCCAGCTGACAGGGTGAGACTCTGTCTCAAAAGGGAAATAAAAGGGTGAAGGACTCAAATACAACTCCAACCCTACCTAACAAATGTAAACAATGTAACCCAGTCCTGTGTAGCCTTATATTAATCCAAAATTTAAAAAAATAAAACTCAGCACTAAGGAAACAAACAACTTAATTTTAAAATGGACCAAAAACTTCAACAGATTCTTCATCAAAAAAGACTTATAGATGATGAGCACATGAAAACGTACTCCACACCATCTATCATCAGGAAAATGCACACTACAATAAGATGCCAAGTCTCAGTGCCCGCAGTACAGTGGTTATGGCTCCAACCACCAGCAATGACTCCTGCAAGGAAATAATAGCTGGGTGATGTGGCGGGAACCTATAGTCCCAGCTACTTGGGAGGCTAAGGCAAGAGAATCACTTAAGCCCAAGAGTTTGAGGTTGCTGTGAGCTGTGATGCCACAGCAGTCTACCAAGGGTGAGACTCTGTCTCAAAATAAATAAATAAACAAACACATACCTATTAGAATGGCCAAAATCTAGAATACTGGCAACACCAGATGCTGGTAATGATGTGGAGAAACCAGTACTCTCAGTCATTGCTATTTGGAATGCAACATGATACAGTCCCGTTGGAGGACAGTCTGGCAGTTTCTCACAAAAATAAATATCATCTTACGATACAATCTAGCAGTCATGCTCCTTGGAATTTACCCAAATAAACTGAAAACTTATATCCCAAAAGATAAAAATGCTTGCACACAGATGTTATGACAGCTTTATTTAAAATTGACAAAACTTGGAAGCAAGCAAAATGTCCTTCCATGGGTGAATGAAATAAAAAAAAGCTGATACATCTAGATAATGGAACTTTATTCAGCACTAAAAAGAAATGAGCTAGTATAGAGTGAGAAGACATAAAGGAAACTTAAATGCATATTACTAAGTGAAAGAAATCAACCTGAAAGGGCTACATAACATATGATTTCAAGTAAATGGCATCCTGGGAAGGGCCAAATTGTAGAAGCAGTAGTAAGATCAGCACTTCCTGGCGGTGGAGGGTGGGCGGGTTGGGGGCTGGTTGAGGTAGGGCCTGGGGTGGGGATGGGATTACTAGACATAACACAGAGGACTCTGGGGCCAGTGAAAACACTGACACTATAATGATGGACACATTACATGTTTGTGTTTGGACATTATACATTTGTCCAAACCCACAGAACGTAGTACAACAGCAAGAGAGAAGCCTAATGTTAAATATGGACTTTGGATGACAGGTCAATGCTGGTTCATCAGCTGTAACAAATGTACCACCCTGGTATAGGATATTGATAATGGGAGAATCTATGCGAGTATGTGGGAAATCTCTGTTCTTCTCAATTTGCTACAAACATAGAACTGCTCTAAAAAATAGGGTTTTTTTTTTTAAAGTTCTTATACGTTTGGGTGATTATTTCATCAATGTGTATCTTTCCCACTAAATTGTAAATTCCAAGATTTTTGCTCGCCATCCGTTCTCAAGTGCTTGGCACTTAGCTGGTTCAAAATTACTTGAATGAATATGTATGTAAACTTACAAATATGGCAGATATCTTTAAATCCATAAAACCATTATTTTTAATGCTTCTCTTAGAATTATTTTGACAGGTAAAAATAAGAGTTATGCAGAGGAAGAGAAAGAGAGTCATCATTCCTATTTATTTTACCTCTAAATCACTTGTTTAAAGCCTGGGCTCCATCTCTAAGTTATAATGGCTTGATTATAATAATAGCTTACATTTCTGGAGCAGCTTTCTTCTGAAGGGCTCTGGTAGCTGCAGACCTCAACATCACTTTGGGGTGACCCTTCTAAGAAACTATGCTAAAAAAAGATTGTGTGTTGCTACTAATCAATCCTAGTAAGTTTTCTCTGTGAAGTTGCCAGGTCACCTTCCAAATGCTTACCCAGTACCTTTTTATGATCATCTCATTTTCTTAATAAAACCACAAGAAGTTGGCGGCAACAAAAGCAAATATGTCTTTGCATGAACTCTGAAAAGAAGCCATTTAAGGTCCTTTTACAACTGCTTCTCTCCAGGGAGGCAAAAAGGTTGTGATCTTCCCCAGTGGGAGGTGGGAGTGGGGGATGGTGGTGCTTGTTTTTAACCAGGATTTGTTGAGCGCTTACTTTGTGCTAGTCCCAGAGCTAAGAGTTGTGTATGCATTATCTCATTTAATCAAAACCCTCTGGTGGCCCCTTTTCTTCCTTAGGGCAGTTAGTAAAGAAATTGTTTCTGGACAACCTGGATAGGCCTGATGAGACTACCGACTAGCTGCCAAAGCAACCCAGCCACTCCAGGACGGACCTCAGCCCAGCAAACAGGGAAGCAGGACCCCTGCCTTACCCCCAAAGCAGGCGAAGCCTCAGTCCCCAGGGGCCCCACCTGGTGCCACTTACCCGCCTGGCTCAGCGAAGGCAGCGTGGGCAGCACGTGCCTGCCCAGGTCCTGCAAAGCCGGGGCTATAGTGTCCAGCATCTTCGGTTCCCAGTCGACTCCGTGCTGGGTCTCGAGGGGTTTCTTTTCTCCCTTTCTTATATGGACTTCGCACAAAAATGATTTTTTTCACTCTCCAGCCCCTTCTCTGCTGAGCGTTCAGTGTGCCTTAATAATACAAATTACAAAAATCTCGAATTTCTAGTTTGGTTTTTTTTTTTTTCTTTCTTTCTTAAATAAATTTAAGCATTCATTCCCTTTCCCCTGCTCTGGCTCTTGGGCCCTCCCACCGCAGGAACCCCGAGAGCTGTCCAGCACTGAAGCAGAATGAGCAAATCCGCTCCCTCTCGCCCAGCGGGAGACGCAGCGAGGAGCCAGCGAAGAGGAGGAGGCACCCGAAAGAGTCGGCTCCGCCGCCCGGGGAGTGCAGAGTGTTGCTGGGACGCGACAAAGAGGCCCGCTCGGTTGCTAAGGCGTCAAAGGAGGCACTCGGCCCCGCCCCTAAGATGGGTGGGAGGCCCCCGGTGGTTGCTCAGGTGATTGGGGAGCTCCAGGCAGGGAGGTTAGGAAGTAGCTTTTTTTTTTTCTGAGACAGTCTCAAGCTGTCACCCCAGGTAGAGCGCTGTGACGTCATAGCTTACAGCAATCTCCAATTCTTGGGCTCAAGCGATCCTCTTGCCTCAGTCTTTCTATTTTTAGTAGAGATGGGGTCTTGCTTTTGCTCAGGCTGGTCTCCTAGTCGTCAGCTCAAGCAATCCACTTGCCTTGATCTCCCAGAGTGCTAGGATTACAGGCGTGGGCCACTGTGCCCGGCCAGAAGTAACTTTTTTTTTAAACTTTTTTCCCCCTGCCCTTCTTACCCCGAGAAGCAAAGCAATTTGCTGGTTAGGGTGGTCGCCTTTGTAAACACCTTGAACAAATCTGGGAGTGATTTTTGCCCAGAGTGATGGATCTGCTTAAGGGTTTGACTTGGAGCTGAATTTTTCTTGTTTGCTTTTTCCTCTAGTCCCCTCCAGGAGATGGAGGGGGAGGTGGGGGGGGGGTGGACTGTAGAATTAGGAAGGGTGGGGTTGACTTTATAAAGGTTATAGTCATGCTTTCTGAGGCACTCACTAGAAGCAGATGCTGCTGCCATGCTTCTTGTACAGCCTGCAGAACCATAAGCCAAATAAATATCTTTTCTTTACAAAATAAAATAAAAGTTACAATCATTTCCCTCCTTCCCTATACAGTATATGTCAGGACTCTCATGCAGAATTGTGTCTTATTCTCTCTCCCCTCTGCTGATAATTATTACAAAGCAAACTCACCTATGAAACCCCTTCCAAGTCGAGAAACAGAATGCTGATTCAGAACCGCAGAAACACACTTCATTTCCTCTCCAGTCTTTATTTCAACAAATACAAAGGATTACTTTTGCCCATTTTTGAACTATTGGTGTCACATGATACATACCGTTTTGTGTCTGGTTCTTTCACTGACATGGTGCTGATGAGATTCATCCACAGTTTCTGTGGCAGCGACTTGCTGGTTTTCACTGTTGCATCCTACTCCTGTGTCTGACTAGGGCACCATTTACTTACCCATTCCATTGCTGAAGGGCATGTGATCGTTTCCATTGAGGCTGTTAGGAAGAACGCTGCTGCAAACATCCTCACAGAAAACGTGTGATGGATATCTGTGCTCATTTCTGATGTGTATATATAACTAGAAGCAAATTGGCAGGTCATGGAAAATGCATATAATCAATTTTAATAGATAAGGCCAAGTAGATTTCTGAAGAGGCTGTTGCAATGGTGGTGGGTGGGAGGAACTGCTGGTACAGGGTGTGCACAGAGACCAGGGAGGGCAGACCACCTGTAAGGTGCCAGACAGTCCTACACAACAAAGCTTGCTCCCTATTCACCACCACTTAGGAATAGCTCATAAGACTTCCATGTAAGGCAAGATGACCAAAAAGCCTAGAAAAAAAATAACATAGAAATACAAGTTATTTTGTTCAATTTCAGTATTACTTGATTTTTTAGGAATTCATAGTGCAAGTAAATTGGAGAAGGGTTCCCCCCCCCCCAGGATTTAAGAATTATTCAACATTTAGGAAAATTGTATCCTCACTATAAACGAGGCTAGCAGTTGAATAGCCAACACACCTGAACCAGGCTGCATTTGCAGCTGCGGCATTCATAGTGATTCCTCCTACGTACATAAGCTTGCAGTGACTGCATTACGCCTTCCAGTACAGTCATGCCTGCACATCCACAAGGCAAAATTATATAGTGTTTTACTATACATTATTTGCCTTTAATGTCTCTATTATATTGGAGTTACAACTTTACATTCTTTTTTTTTTTTTTTTTGAGACAGAGTCTCATTCAGTTGCCATAGGGTTGAGTGCAGTTTTGTGATAGCTCACAGCAACCTCAAACTCCTGGGATCAAGCCGTCCTCTTGCCTCAGCCTCCTGAGTAACTGGGACTACAGGCACCTGCCACACTGCCCAGCTACTTTTTCTTTTTCAGAGACAGATCTCACTCTTGCCTAGGCTGGTCTTGCAGTCCTGAGCTCAGACAATCCACCCGCCTCAGCCTCCCAGAGTGCTAGGATTACAGGTGTGCGCCACTGCACCCAGTCCTCTTTACATTCATTTTTAAATAATGTGGGTAGATAAACTATATTATCCATAAACCTATTCAGGATACTAAGGCATTACAAAATATTTTTTATAAAAATGAATCATTGGGTCTAATAGAACAGAGAAACTCTGTGCTAGAAAATGCCAAGCCCTATAATTCATCTTCTTTCCCTCTACCTTGACTACTAAGAAGCTCAGAACCTAGTGCTGAGCCTTCCTTAAACTAGTTTTTGTAGAAAAATAATTTCCTTCCACTCTCCCTTTTATCACCTGACTTTTGTCCTCTAGTCTGCTGATGATGTTTGGTTCCCAGCAGAGTAGGCTGGGAAATAGGCAGAAAATTTTGTTGAATGGATCAGCTGCAAGCAATGGGCAAAGCAATGGGCAAATTCTTTTTTGTTGTTTCCTTTTTTTTTTCCCCCAGCATTTGCTAAGACTTTATTCTTTAGATATACCTGTACATATATGCAAAAATAGGGAAAGATCTCCAGGGCACTTTCTGCAGCAGGCTCAGAATTGTAGGAGAGTGAGCACCAGGCTTGTATGAGTGGGCACCAGGTCTTGAGGGAGGCGCTAGGAGCGGGACAATCTTCCAAGCCAGACTGGAGATGTTTTGCAGCCCGGAGACAAGCCCTCATTGCATGCTTTAATGAGATAAGATCCCTGGCTCCTTAGCAAGCAGGTGTTGGACCTTGAACATTTGTGGTGCAACAGGGTGGGAGTCCAGCCCTAGAGAAAGAGCACAAAGCTATCATTAAGCACATGATCCTCGTACACGCCCCCCCACACCTATTGTATAACGTTTCAATAAAAGGCCACAGCAGAGGTTACTTGAGGCTTCCCTGCACCTATGGGAAGTCCACCTCTTATAAGCATTTGTACTTCCAATCCATGTCCCAGCTTTTTCCTTCTCACGGTGACACGGTGCCACAGAGGGCACCAACAAAGGTAATGGGGTGCACAGTGGCACAAAGAAGTTATGAAGTTTGAGAAGTCCAAACTCAAGGGTTCCACGTCTGGTGAGGGTTGTCTTGATAGTGAGGATTCTGCAGGGTCCCAGGGCAGTACAAGGCATCACACTTGGTGAGGGGACCAAGTGTGTTTGAGTAAATTCTTTTCTGACTGTTGCCTTGAGAGCGATTGCCAAGACAGCTAATTGTTAGTGGCAATAACATTACTGTTCTACCTTAGCAATGGAATTATAAAAATATATTCGTTTCTTACAGTAGATTAGATTTGGGATTAAATATGGTGATGGCACGTCTAGTCTCTAGAAAAACTGTCCCACTTTCCAGAAGATGGTTATAAATGTTAATTTTTCATAACTTATAGATGGCAAATGGAGGGATCTAAAAATAATAAAGAAAAAGGACTTTTCTTCCAAGATCCTTTTTCCCTTTTGTCAAAGTTTGTTTAACAAAAGAGGATGTGTACCACCAGGCACAGAGGCTCATGCCTACAATCCTAGCACTATGGGAAGATGAGACAGGAGGATCACTTGGGCTCAAGAGTTTGAGACCAGCCTGAGCAAAAGCAAGATGCTATCTTTACTAAAAATAAAAAAATCAGTTGACCATTGTGGCAGGTACCTGTGGTTCCAGCTACTGGGGAGGCTGAGGCAGGAGAATTGCATCAACCCAGGAGTTTGAGTTTGCTGTGAGATAGGCTGACTCCATTGCACTCCAGCTCTGGGCAACAGAGTGAGACTCTGTCTCAAAAAAAAGGAGGTTTTGTAGATTCGCGTGACCCTATGTTTTACTAAGCTAATTCTAATGAGGTATAAACATTATACATCCTGAAAATATGTATTTTTCAGTTGATAATAAAGCTCAGGCAAAGCATGCAATTCCACTGCTAAGGATGTGTTCTTTGGACATACTGGCATGATATGTACAAAGATATATGTATGTACAACACTGTTTGCTGTGCTAAAACTTAGACTTAACCTAAGATGACCATCATCAGGAAGTGATTAAATTGTAAATCCATACATTGGTATATACTTTAAAGAGTTTACTTAAAATAAAATTGTACATTTCTGTACTGATGTTGAAAAGTGTTAAGATAAATTAAGCGAAAAACAGTTACACGGTAGTATTTATTTGTACGTACAAATATATGATCCTATTTGTTTCACAAATAAGTATATATGAAACTATGCATACATATTCATATATATTGTATTTTTGTAAATACACAGGACATTTTAGGAAAGATACACAAAAAATCACAAGGGCGGTATTTTGAAATCATGTAAAATGGAGGGAAAGAGTCCCAGTAAATTTCATTTTCACCTTTGTCCTTTATTTTCTATTTTAAGAACACCAATTACTTTAATAATATTTAAGATAATTTACCAAAGAGAGTGAGATACAGAAGTACAGGGAGAGTGCAGGGATTTATGCAAACAC